ACCATAGTAAACTGTTATGACTTTAAGCCCGGCTAATTATCATGTGACTTATTCGACAATCGAAATACAACTTGTACAATCCTAGCACTGTGCCAAACCAATGAAGTTCAACCGGTATGATCAGCCTGGAGTTCTTATTAGTACTTTGTAGTCTTAGCATTTGAGCCCAAAACACCAATACCAGCTTCCACTATACAAATCATTTATTTCAAATGTACTTAGTTTATACACAAGCCAATCATACCATAAAACAGGAAACAACATTTGTACAAGATCTAGCCAAAAAGTGAATGTGAACGTGGGAGACTGTAGTTAATAAACTGAGCATAATTTAAGAATCGTATAATAATAATAATCTATAGGTCAAAATGAAGCTTTTAATAAAAGGAATATAGGTATAGACAATCTAGTTACTGAATAGTTACACAGTAAGAATATATCTACCATATTAGTTCATTAATAGGTCTCAGAAGTTGCTTATAACTTAATCTTCACTAGAATATAACGCATACACCCTTTAACACCTGTATAACACAACAAAATCTATGTTAAGATAAATCTTATGATCTGCTTCAACTATGTGTTTGACAATAGAGGGTGATGTATGTTTATGATCTATTCGTATAGGGTCATTTGATATTATTTGCCTTTTCAATCATTTAGGTACATATTCAGACACCCTAATTTGGGGATCGCGATTACTTTTCTCTATTTATGTGTGGTGACACACAGATTTAAACTGGTAAACACAATGGGATACAACGCAATCGTTTTATTGCCTTTTAGGTTTTTGATGAAGTATGGATCTTGTTTTCTCCTTGCTGCGTAGTACGTTTTGTTAATAACTGATTTGAGCCTTTGTTTCGAAAAAGGCTATTTGACTCACCTCTAAACAGTCAGATGATGTGGACAAGCTCTTTTTTATGCCAAGGCTATGGTAGGTCTCACTATACACTGACCTTTCCATCGATCTATGAATTTTAGAAGATAACCATTTTCTATCAATGTTTTGTTCGGCAACCTAACGTCGTCATTAGTAGCATTGTTTGTGCAAATATGATCAATCCTGTTAAATAAGCCCCTTATCAAATCCCGTTTGTATTGCACCGGACAGTAACTATTATAACTAACGTACTTGGCTTTCTTAAAATGGATCGTTTCATTAAACGATCTCGTCTACTTATAAGTATGTCTAAGGAAGGAAGCTGGTCGTTCTTCTCTTCTTCATATGAAAGATTGATGTGGTTTTGAAGTGTTAAGCCTATTCAAAAAACAATTCATATCCTTCTTTTTTCCACAGATAACTAAAATATCATCCACATATCTCTTATAAACGGACATTTTTTCGATTGGATCTTCACCTGGTTATTCAACATGTGTCATGAAGACATCTGCTAATAATGGTCCTAACGGGCTACCCATAGCAACCCAATCGATTTGGCGAAAGTATTTGCTTTCAAATGTGAACCGAACTTTGTCAGTCCATTATAAAGACAAGTCTATGGGAATTTTTAAAGGAACAAGTAGTTTAAGTTTGTTCAACGATACATAGTCATATAAAATACTAAATCTTTTTGAAGGTATATTTGTGAACTAGGAGTTCACATCAATAGAACAGAATATCTTTCCTTTGATATTAATACCACCGAAATAACTGACCTATTCAAAGGAATCCTTCAGTGAATACTTACATAAACGCCTTAGGATAGGATCTTCATTCTTTTTAGATCAATATTATTGAAGGGATCTCGATCTTTCTAATATAGATAAATTGGTATCCCTTTATATACTGAAAATAAGAAGTCAAAATATTAGATATATATTTCTGATATATTCTTATCTATTTTACTGACCTAAACAATTTAATAAACTAGGATTATACAGGATTGTAGTTTCAATTGTGGTATGGGTTACTTATATCCTCATAAGTAGTATATGATGATGGTCAGACAAAGAATGCACTTTGGCAGAAGATCGATAAGGAGAGAATGGAAACGAAGCACAATTAGTATGAAAATGCATGAACAATGAAATCAGAGACGATGGACTGATATTTGCAGAAGGAAGAGTGAAGATTGAGACAATTGATTGATAGTTTGCAAATTAACTGTTTACTATATGGTTATCAGATTTTAACGAGATATTCTGTAGTTTTGTGCTCAAATACATTCGATTGTTTACATCCGTGTTCTGCTCATTACACAATGATCATTTGTTGAACTTTTAGTTATCATTTAATATTTTTCGTATAATTTTTTTATTCAAAGTATTTGTATTTTCAGTACAGTTAATTTATTGTGTTCCGTTATTTCTCATTTAGTCCACCTGTAGCCCCTCCGGGGACTACTGCCGGCCCCAAGCCCTGATAATGGAGGAGGGTTGGACATCGGGTTAGTGACCCCATCCCATAGAAAAACTAACTCGCTAAAAATCGCTAACCAGAAAAAAACGAATTCTCGTTAATTAAAAACAGTTTAAGATTATGAAAAATTCACAAAATATCTGAACAAATAAAAGATCAAATCATAATCACAAAATTACAACAATCAGTCAATAGTTATATATTACTGTTTATGTACTGACCATGGTGGTAGTTTCCAACAGTACAGTGAATCATTGAATTTGAGGACAACCCACTGACAACATTCCAAAATTGTTATGCAATTTGAAACGTTTCATTTGTGATGGACAAGAAGAGATGTGGGATAGACTGATTGATATTCTAGTCATGAGGACTATTGGGAAGATCGTAGAGTATTAAAGCAAAATTTAAACAGTCAATTAAAATGCTTAAGGAATGACGAATTAATACTAATTTCGATAAAACCATAATAACATAATAAAAGTAGTAGTATAGACGGTAAGTTTATTCCCATGAAGCTGATTTTTTCAAAAGTGATCACTAAACATTAGTGTAGATCTCCGTTGAAAAGGTCGATCAACCACATCATCAGCGATCAACCTCAAATGACATTCGACATGAATTAAATGACAAATAAAGACAGCAAATTCTACGAAGGCAATCAAATGTAAACAAGATAAGTAGAATCAATTGATTTAAATAGACCCTAATAGATGCTCAATCTATTTAGCCGAGTGATCACAACACCAACAATACTATTCAATTTAGCAGTAAATTTCCTCTACTACTTCTTGCTGTGAAATAAAATCAAATCATTTCAATATGTTCCTTAATTTATTGTAATCCAAAAGTTACTCATTTTTAGGTGTTCCCTGTGATTATTGAATCAGTAAATTGTTATGGTAATAATTAACAGATTAAACTGAACAACTTCAATCAACTAAGAATACTGTTATTCCCTTCCCACTAATTTATATCTTATTGAGCTGTAGAAATGTAATGGAATTCAATGTGATCTGTGACCGGTAGTGTGGTGCGATCTACTTATATCCACACAAGTAGTATATGGTAATGGTCAGACATAGAATGTATTTTGGCAGAACACTGATAAGGAACAAACAGGAATGAAGCACAATCGGTACGAAAATGCACGAACAATGAAATCAGAGATGATAGACTGATATTTACAGAAGGAACAGTGAAGATTGAGACAATTGATTGTTATTTTGAAAATTAACTGTTGACTACTATATGGTTATCAGAATTTAGTGAGATGGTCTGTAATTGGTGCTTAAATACATTCGATTGTCCCCAGTCGTGTTCTAGTCCAGTACAGTAGTACTTACTATTTGGTAAAAGTATAACTTTCTATACACATTTGCAACCAGCCTGAAATAATTATAAAGAATTGATTAAATGACTTACTTAGGTCTAACAATGGAAACCTATTTAAGAAGATTATTCATTATATAGTAGTATAAACCAAAATAGGAAGTTGGAAAATTTCTACTTCCATTGGTCAAATAACCTAAACTTCTGATTTTTTAACTTAATTACTTAGTATCACAGAACATAACGGATAAAATATTTATCTACTTTTAACTTTTTATTACCCAGAAAGGGTTTATGTGGAGATTTTAATAATTTTTTATAGTTCAAATCATGAGTCAATTGAAGCTAGATCACCATGGAAAACGTGGAAGCGCTGGAAGGCCGTTTCGTCCTATTGTGTGACTCCTCAACAGTGCGCATCCATGATCCCACCCCACAAGATTCGAACCGAGGATCTGTCGGTCTCGCGCGTGAACACCTAATCTCTAGACCATTGAGCAAACATTCCGTGATGTTATTGTGTAAGTTCAACTAATCCACGAAATCGAGCGAGTGGCTTCAAGAGATAATTTGTGGAGTCCTAGTGATAAATAGTGACCAGTGGAGTTCAACCGTGACTATTGTGAGATATCAACTCACTGAAGACAATGGTGGACGGTTGCTCAATTTCGTGGATTAGTTGAAGTTAGACATTAACACCATTGGATGCCGACTCAGTGATCTAGTGGTTAAGCGCTCGCGAGGCGTGATCGTGGATGTGCATTGTTGAAGAGTCCCACAATAGGATGAAATGACCATTCAGTGCTTCCAGACTTTCCATGGAGATCTAACTTCAATTGACTCATGAAGATATTTCTTCCGTGTTTTATTTTTACATTCCTGCTTAACAAAAAAACGAATAATCATAATTTATGACTACCAGTAATTAAAAATATTTCTTCAATATGAACAAAAAACAAAAAAAAATATAACAAGAACTAAGGGTACTACTTAATTCTTACACTATTTCAATTTATGTTAATCTACAATGTTCCTACCCCCCCCCCCGCAAAAAAAAAACCCCAAAAGAACAACAACCATCATGTTGACAAATTGGGATTATGATTTATATACAATCCCTTTTCATGAATAAATAATTTATAGCTGTCCAATGTAACCCCCCCCCCCGAAAAAAAACAAAAAAAATAAAAAAAACTTGAATATATAAATTACGATTTTATTATTCTCTATTATTCCCCCTTTATACATTATTATTATTATTATTATATAGAAAATAATAAAAGAACGTTTACTTAATCTTATTAAAATGAATAATAAAATAAATTTATTAAATTGGAAAATTCATTTTATGCTTAATATACTACTTATACTACTTATTATTCAATGTTCAGCATTACTACTATCTAAGAAATTGAATGAAAAATCAAGAAAATTTATAAATAAAACAGATGGTAGTAATATGGAAATTGTTTGTATATTGGATCATGATATTTATTGTATAGAACATTATGTTGGATTTTTGTAAGTTATGCTGATTGTTTTCTTAATTAATTTACTTTTATAATTCTGTGACATATTAAAGGATTACTTACTTACTTACGCCTGTTACTCCCAATGGAGTGTAGGTCGCCGACTAGCATTCCTCAACCTACTCTATCCTAGGCATTCCTTTCTAGATCTATTCGATTTTTGTTCATTCTTCTCATGCCTGTCTCCATTTCTCGGCGTAATGTGTTTTTTGGTCTTCCTTTGTTCATTTGACCTTTATGATTTCAAATGAGGGATTGCCTAGTGATGCAGTTGGGTGATTTTCTCAATATGTGTCTTATCCACTTCCAGTGCTTCTTCTTCATTTCTACACGGGAGGTTAGCGACCCCATCGCGTAGAACACTGACTCGTTAAAAAAAACGCTGACCGGGACATATAAAGGATAGAAATTAAAAATTATTTGTACTAAATCCTACTTTGTATCAAGCTGAAAATAGTCAAATTCTTCCTGTGAACATAAGTTTCATCTCAGACGTAGAAAACTTAAGAAGACTTAATTTCTGTGAATGTATTAACGTTTCGAACTCTCAAGTTGTTTGTAAGATAGCCAAGTTAATCACACCCGAGTTTTGATCTAGTCTGAGATAAATGTTAATTTACTGTGAAACTTTAAATATAGCAGCAGCCTTTGCATCAGTAGGCCTCAACATACACAAAGGAAAATGCAGGATTCCAAAATACAACACGGAAAACAACAACTCAATCACATTTGGTGGGGAAACTCTGAAAGATGTAGAAACATTTACGTATCTGGGAAGCATCATTGATGAACAAGGAGTATCTGATGCATATGTAAAGGCGAGGATTGGCATAGCAAGGACAGTATTCTCACAATTGAAGAACATATGGAACTAAAAACAATTCTCAACTAACTTCGAAGTGAGAATCTTTAATACGAACGTCAAGACAGTTAGTTCTACTGTATGGGGCTGAAACGTGTAGAACTACTACATCCATCGTGAAGAAGGTACAAGTATATATAAACAGTTGTTTACGCAAAATACTCAACATTCACAGACCGGATACTATGAGCAACAGCGTTTTATGGGAGAGGACAGACCAGCTTCCAGCTGAAGAAGAAATTAGGAAAAGACGCTGGAAGTGGATAGGACATACATTAAGGAAATCACCAATGTGCATTACAAGGCAATCCCCAACTTGGGATCCAGAAGGGAAGCGGAAAAGAGGAAGGCCAAAGAACTCACTACGCCGGGAAATAGAAGCAGATATGAAAAGGATGAATGTTGACTGGAAAGAACTGGAAAGGAAGGCTCAGGACAGGGTTGGATGAAGAATGCTGGTGAGCGGCCTATGCTCCTCGACGAGGGGGTAACAGGCATAAGTAAGTAAGTAAGTAAGTTTAAATTAATGAGATATCAATAAAAAGTGACTCATACAATATTAATGATGTTTCAATTTGATATTATACGGATGAAAATAGATTGTTTGCAATTCATTAATTATCATAATATTTATGTATACACCAATTTCCAATCTACATTTTGAATCCATACTGGTTTACTAAAGTTATATGTATGATCTAAGAAGATTGTTGAAACTTTTAAGACGTACTTATCAAAAAAAGACAACAAAGAAAACACCTCTCAAATGTACTGATCATTTCAACCACACCCTAAAGCCTCTAAGGACGATCCAAGGTCAGGACAATCATCTATGACCATTATGGGTGAAAATATTCGACATAAACGATGGCAACTAGTGAGTGGCCTATGCTCCTCCACGAGAGGTAGCAGGCATAGGTAAGTAAGTAAACGATGGCATATGATTTCCAATAACTGATGGATTAAATTTGTAAAAATCACTTAACGACACGACTCTAACCAAATGCCAAACAACGAGAGAGCTGAAGAGCTTGGCTTTTTAAGATTTCTGTGGATGTTAAGAATAATGGATATGGAGATCTGAAAATTGTAGTGTTATAAGTGAACGGTGCTTGGAAAATAGTATACTTGATTCATTCTAATGTTTCTTAAGTGAAGATTTTATGACCTCATATTCACAAATACATACATAATTATATATAATTATTTACTTACTTACGCCTGTTATTCACCAATCGAGCATAGGCAGCCGACCAACATTCTCGAACCCACTCTGTCCTCGTCCTTCCTTTCTAGTTCTATCCAATTTTTGTTCATTCTTCTCATGCCTGTCTCCATTTCGAGGTGGAATGTGTTCTTTGGTCTTCCTCTTTTCCTTTGACCTTCAGGATTCCATGTGAGGGCTTGTCTTGTGACTCGGATGATTTCCAATTATATATCATTACTGTTGGAATAAATAGTTTGCTGTTGAAAGTGATCGGCAATTTCTTCACGATAAAAATACTATCTATCATTGATACTTCGAAGGATAAGAACTTAAAGTATGGAAGTAATGAACATTTCTTAATCTTACTTATGCTTACCAATAAATTAAATACACTATTTAAAAGTCATGTTGAAAGACCTATTCTAAAGAACTATTTATCCATTCTTTTTTAAACACCTTAGATTTAGTGATGGTTGCCGAAGGTGCATTTGTAAACAAGATGGAGCTTATTGTACTAGTAAAACATGTATTGATTATCAAGCAACTGAAACAAATCCTGAAGATTATTGTAGAAAATTAGTTGAAAAGGTAAATTATATTTAGTCTTTTTTTTATTTCTGATGTCTATTTATAATCTGTGTAATAGTTTCTTGTATGACAACAATTTTTGATTATGTAAAGATTTACTGGGTATTTTAACATATGAGATTCCGTTGAATTTCCTAACAGTATGCTTGTATAGTATGGTGCGTGTGTTTTCAATTAAGGCTATATCAAGGCAATACGCACAGTAAGCACATATGTCAATAAGATACTGACCAGTTACAGTCCTAAAACATCAATGGAAAGATTCAAACAAACAATTCCAAGTGAATTTGAACTTCACCCCATTGCACAAGCAAGTGGCTATCAGGACTCAGTAGCTGAGTGGATAACGCGATGTCGTTTGAAGTGAAAGGTACTGGGTTAGAGTACTAGAGTGAACATCAACAAGTCTGAGATGCAGGTACATCCAACTGACGGGTCCCAAATAGGACAAAAAGCGCGTCAAACTGGATTCCACTGCTAGCCACTGTCTATCTTTGCTTATAGTGAGATATTTATCCTTAGTTCTATGTTGTTGAAACTAAATAAGATTTTCTTGAATACTCCCAAATTAGAAGGTTGTATCAGTTACTTAGTGTAATTATAACAGTTGAGATCATGAATCAATTGAAGCTAGACTCCCACAGAAAACCTGGAAGCACTGGACAGCCATTTCGTCCTATTGTGGGACTCCTCAACAGTGCGCATCCATGATCCGAACTCGCCGGATCTCAACTGTTAAGATTACTATAATATCCAAAAAATCCCTTATGATATTAGTGTAATTACTCAATGTTTTTATCTACAATGTATGGGAAATTAAGTTGTCACTAAGTATCAGTCTGTGCACACGCGAACATTCCAAGGAATAACCAACCGTTAAATTCGACATGGTCGTAAATTAGAACTTCCTGATTTGATCATATATGTTAAATCATTTGTAAGATAGAATTTTACGAGGAATATGTTCCAAGTTATATTAAACACCGTTGTCGATGACTTACTGGTACCATTGACAAGAATTAAATCTGACACTTAGGTCTTAATACCATTTAAAACTTAATGATCAATAAAACCTATACTTTCTAATTATCTGTTTGTGAAATGAAACCTGATCATTTTTATGCTATTATCTAATATCTGTATACACTGCCCGTCGCTACTACCGATTGAATGGTTTAGTCAGGTCGTTGGATTGGCGTCGTTGTAGTGGCTTTGCCACTCGATTGATGTTGAGAAGATAACCTAATTTGACTTTTTAGAGGAAGTAAAAGTCGTAACAAGGTTTCCGTAGGTGAACCTGCTGAAGGATCATTAACATGACCCAAAAATATATAATGAAGCATGCATCTGGCTTCGTGCTGGACTGCATGTACCCATGCTTAGTGGTATTTACCCTAGGCTTCAGTGGTTTAATAGTTTGCCTATAAGTTTGTTTTCTTATTACAAAAGAAATCTTGTTTCATTGTTATCTTTCACTTTTAATATTATCAGAAGAGAAATTTGCGGAGATTTTAGTAATTTTATAGTTGAGATCATGAATTAATTGAAGCTAAGCCGCCATGGAAAACCTGGATCGTGGATGCACACTGCTGAGGAGTCCCACAATAGGACAAAACGGTTGTCCAGTGCTTCCAGGTTTTCCATAGTAGTATAGCTTCAATTGACTTATGATTTCAACTATATATAAAAATTACTAAAAATCTTAACAAACAATCCCCTTATCATATGCTCACTAGTGACTGACTTCAAGAGGTATTTCCTGGAGTTCTAGTGAGAAGCAGTAACCAGTGAAGTTCAACCAGGTCTGTTGGTAGATATCAACTTACTGAAGACAATAGTGGATGTGTAGCTCAATTTCGTGGGTCGATTGATGTTAGACATTAACACCGTTGGATGCCGGCCGACTTAGTGTTCTAGTGGTTAAGCGGTCGCGCGCGAGACTGATAAGTGCTGGGTTGAAATCTCGCGAGGTGGTATCGTGGATGTGCGCTGTTGAAGAGTCCCACAATAGGACGAAACGGCCATCCAGTGCTTCCAGATTTTCAATGGTGGTCTAGGTTCAATTGATTTATGATCTCAACTATTGAAATTACTTTTAATATTAGTTCATGTAGCGAGGGGGCATACGTCTATTATTCAGTGTTATGATCAAAATTTTCAGTTTAGCATTTACTATCATTACACATTATCTAACTATCAACAGCGTACTTATTCACTATGACAATTTATAAACCTTCCAATATTCAAAATACATTCCGTACCATACTTACCTTAATTAGTAGTATCATAAGATTACTTTGAATGTACAATGCTAAGTTTTGATCAAAATAAAGTTAGAAAAGTCGTTTGATGAGTTAACCTACTGTTCTACAACTTTGCGTGTACTTTTACATTTCAGAATGAAAATGGTACTAGTACCATATCTGATAGTGATAGAAATGTAACCTATAATCATTATAATCTAACTTATATCCATAAACCAAGAAATGAAACAGATGATGAAGTTAATGATGATGAAGACAATTCAAATAGAATAATGAATAATATAACAAAAGAAACGGATGAAAATGTAACAAGTTCCCCATTATACACTGAAGAAAATCCTTTGACTGATGATGATTCTGAAAAGATGAATTTCAGTGAGACCGCCAATAACACATATAAACTGGAAAGAGAAATCGAAGAACAACCGCCTTCATTTGATATACATCGTCAGAACAATACAGTGAATGGATCAGTTAATGTACCGATTAAGAATATCGAAAACAATTCAGTTTTCTCATTGTTTACTAACGATAATGTTTCCTTAAGGGAAAATAATCAATCTTTGAAACTCAATGAGCCAAGATCTCATAAAGTAAAAAACATAAGTGATAAACTACCGATCACTTATATTCTGAAAGATCAAGGTAAAGATGAACATCATAGAAATTCCAGTTTCTTGAATAATGAACAGGATTCAGAATATAATGATGAAGTAGAACGAGAAGGAAGTAAAAGATCCTTATCAAGAAATAATAATGAGAGAAATCTTATTACACGAGATAAGTATAATGATAATACTGAAGAGAATAAATTACTCTTAGTTGACGACACTATGCAAAATGATGAAAGTTCTAATCAAACTGATGAAGAAAAAATTATAAAAAATATTAGTCCAGTAATGAATCTTTTAAGTGATACATTAGATTCAAATAATCTTGATTCATCATTCGCAACTCCTGCTGAAAACATTGTTAATAAAGAATTAATAGGTATAGTAATGGATAATAAAAATGGAACAAATAATACTTCAAATCATGTTGAAAGTCAGGGCATTGAAGATGGACGAAAACATCAAGATGTCAGTTCGGTAGATGAAAATTTAACTCTAAATAAGGAAAAGGAAAATCCACCTAGCAACCAACCTGTCAATACGACTGATAGTAGATTAGCACATCAAAACGTCTCAAAATCCAATAAAAGGAAACAGAGTCACCAACGTAATGCAACAACACAAGATGATTCAAATAATTGGGTTTCTAGAGAGATTACAGTGAATAGTAGAACAGTAAAACTACCAAATGAAAAAGCAATGAAAAATATGCATCAATTATTTCCTAATGGAGAATTACCTTATCTTGAACTTGAAGAAAAAGATACACAAAGTTATGATGATACAGTACATGGTAAACACATTCCACATAAAAGTCCTTTACAATCTGTATCATTTACTAGTCATCGTCATGATGATCAACTGATGGAAAAACTTGACCTTTTACTTAAAAACACCAATGATATAAAATATTACTTGGAAATGTTAAAACCATGTTGGCAACAAACACAACAAAGACATCATATGATGAAAATGCATTTTAATTCAAAATTACCTAAAAACAAATTACTTACTTTTTAAGTTCAGTTATTAGATAAATATCATAATCTACTTAAAAAAATTTCTTAATTATTCATATACTACTACTTACTACTGAATTAAGATGAATTATCTAAACTTGATGTTATTGACCAATAAAAGATAATTAGAAATCATTGATGAGTTGTTTTTTTGTCTTACTCTTATGAATTGATGATTTTACAGCTGTCGGCTGTCACTCTTCATCAATATGACTCTGTGAGGAAGAACAGCTGGTGCAGACGGATTGGTTCCAGAGGTCTTTAAATATGATGATCCAATCTTAGCGATTAGGTTGACTAATATTCTGGCTAAAATCTGGGAGTTGGAGGTAATCCCATCTCACTGGCACAATCTCTGATTTTCCCAATATAACAAGAAGGAGTCAAAATCATCCTGTAATAGCCATAGAGGGATTAATTTGACTAATATAACATCTTAAATACTAGCTTCAATAATTATCCGGCGCCTAACTAATAGTCGTGAACTCCAGGCACGAGAAAATCAGGCTAACTTCAACACTGAGTAACGATGCAAGGATGTTTGGGATGCATTTCTTTTCCTCTATATGAAAATTTTTACTTTAGGACTGGCCTGCATAAATACCTGAACTAAAGATAGGAAGCGAAGTAGTCGAACGCGTCGACAACTTCACTTTTCTTAGAAGTCTGATCAGCCTTAATGCATTGGTGTTTGACGAAATCTCAGCACGGATTCAAAAAGCTTGTTTGGCTTTTGCCAACTTACGTCACCTATGGTAAAGGCGAGACATGCGTCTATCATTTAAGGGACGAGTATACTGTGCAGCAGTTCTCTTCATTCTACTTTACAGCTGTGAAACGTTGCCATTAATAGTAGAAGATGCTTGTGAGTTACTAGTATTTAATCACAGATGTCTTCGAAATATTGCTCGTATCTGCTGGGATCACCGGGTAAGTAATAGTGAGGTTAGACACAGGATGTTGTGGAATGATGGTAAATCAGTTGATGAAGTTGTAAATCTATACCGACTTAGATGGTTGGGCCATGTGTTACGTATGTCTGAACACCGATTACCACGATGAGCAATGTTGACTAGTGTTGGAGACGGGTGGAATAAAGTTAGGAGCGGCCAAACCAAAAAGTGGTATCAATCCATGAAGTGACTAACTTCTGGTGTGAGCGATGTAGGTAGATGCAGAGTACTTGGTTGAGGTCCGAGTGACTATCGTAATCAGTAGCGGTTGAAGACTCTGTGTGGCATGGCTCAGAATCGATGACAATGGGGTAGGTGCACACACTCTTTGTCTTCCCTTAAACATAGAGATTAAGACTGCTTCATACCTTTCTTCCTGTAATATGTCCTTATACACAATCTTTCTTTTATATATTACCACCAATAAATGAATTTGGTGTTCATCTTGTTGTGCGAAAGAGGTATGGCAACTTAGATCAATGCATATGTGCGCCTGGTCCTACGTTGTAGCTGACTGACTGACAGCCGACATGAAAATGAGGTCTAGAGTTTCCTGTCAATTGCCCATGGTCACCCTACATCAAATAATAGAGTCTAGAATACAAAAGAGAAAACATGATGGTAGAAGTATCATAATAACTAGTGACTGTTTCAACATTGTTCGTTTCACTCATACTCTGAAGCGGAAATAATCAAACAGAAATCGCCCTTCACTCTTTAACAGTTTTAATGATAAGGGTATTAACTATGGCAAATAAAATCTGTTACCAATCTTATGATTTTATCAAAAGGAATAAGTTGTAAAGCATAATTTGTATACTAACAGTATTATACTGTTTGTGATTATATATATGCAATGAAAAATCAAAGTACTAAATCAACCTCGTTCTTTTTAGTTGGTTTAAAAAAGAAAGCTCACTTTTCCCAAGAAATTTAGAGCTACTCATCATTCCAAAGTCTGTTTCACTGAAAATGACCATTTATGTTCACAGAGTTTTCTCCACTTATAAATTCCAACGAAGTAAGAGCAACAATCATAATAGATCTCTATGAATTCATTTATTTCGTAGATTCTCTTCAGCTACTTACAACTTAAGATCAGTAGTATCAGTCATTAAAAACAAAATACGTATACATATGTCATATCAGGATGATCTTGTATATGATTGTATTTGTCATAGGGACAGAGAATAATAAGATTGTTGAAACACTTGTTTATTCATGAGTTAGATATATGAATATTCTAGAAGAAAAAACTGAAAAGGACATAGAAACAGAGTTTTTTTGGAACTAAAGATGTATTTCATAGATTATATAATGCTTACAAAATATAGGCTAGCTAAGTAAAGCACAGAAGGTCACAGATGGTGATCAGTTCTCCATCTCACATTCTCGTCCGGTGGTTAGAGAATTAATTAAAATCGATTTACTAAAAGATATCTGAAGGGGTTTTGTGGCGATTTCAGTATTTTCATAGTTGAAAGCATGAGCCGGCTCAGTGATCTATGGGTTAACTGCTCTGGCGCGAGACTGGTTGTTCCTGGGTTCAAATCTCGCGAGGCGAGGTCATAGATGCGCACTGCTGAAGGAGTCCCACAACAGAACAAAACAGCCATTCAATGCTTTCAGGTTTTCCATGGTTGTCTAGCTTCAACTGACTCATGCTTTCATCTATAAAAGTTATCTACCCGTAGCAGAGATGGATAGTGGCTAGCAGTGGAATCCAGGACGCGCGTTTCGTCCTATTTAGGACTCGTCAGCTGGATGTACCTGCATCTCAGAGTTGATGGGAAGATTCAAACAAACAATACTAAGTTGTATTTATCTACCCGTAGTTTAAAAGATACCTTTTAATTTATATGATACTGTAAAATTTTAACATCTTTAATCAACTCATGTATTGGTTTGATATTTCACCATTATTTACCATAGTTCCACTAAAAAAATTATACAAATGAAATGTTAACATGTGAAATTACTTCATTTACCAGAGGAAGAATCTAAGCGACTTCTACTGATATACATCAAGGATGACCAATTTCACGTTTCGTCAAAATGATAAAGTGGATAAGGACTGTTCATTGAGACCAATTATGATAGATATCTTTGTGGCCAATCTAAATCAAGCACTGATGATATTGGGAATTAATTGCAAAACTTTGCACACTTATTTTTGGATTATGAAAACTGATCTAATTATGTCAGGTAGTATAAGACATTTAGTAAAATAGCCTTGAACATAGATTCCATGCTAGTTGGCACATATGAGAAAGGTGCATCTGTAATCTTAAATAAACTGATTATAAGAATCACATGATATGGAATCCCACTAAACTCATCGACTTCCAGTTACTTTCTATTAAACCAACAACACCATGATATCAAGTCACTTCACGTTATGATCACACTGTAACTTGATCTATGACATTTAATCATTGCTTAATACTATAAAAACTAACTTTGACTGCTACAGTTTGCAGCCATATAGAATGGTAAAGCCTAGTAGGCCCTTCTGGAGAAGAGTGCTACATCGAAGCACGGCACAATTACCGGGGTGGGATAGCTGTTTTTGCACTGCTTACGCAGAACCATTACATAACTCTCACAACCAATTTTTTTGTCTTTTTGTTTTGTTTGAACAGACTAATTTTTATTTTACCACTCTTTTGAACCCCCAGAAATTATGCGATGACTCTATGTAGTATTCTTAATCGTTCTCGAGCATTGGTAAAGTAGTTGATTAGGCCGATCTCCACCACCCGGGTCACCGCTCATGTTACTTCATGGAAACAGTCCCATAATCGAGGAGGCACGATGAGGACGTTTGAGTAGGACTTCGCCTCCCAACCATGATTTACAGTTCATCAATAGCTTACTGAGCACATAAAGAATCCATTTAGATAAATTCTTATTTCAAATGCTTAAACAATAGGTTTGATGTAAAAAATTTTTGGGATTATTGAGCCGGTTTAGGTGAGTTAAGCAACTTATTGTGATGGACATATTCTGGACTTATAAGAACATGATTAAAGGAACCAAGGATTTCAAGGGTACAAAGAAGACAGCACTTTCATAATCATACGCATACAGTGAAGAAGTTGAGATTTTGCAAAATCAGATACACTTATGCAGCTGTTGACATTATACTACTTATGAGTAACTAAAGTTAGATATTTCCTCTTGAACTTTTCTCCAATCAACTAGTCAGAAAGTAGTATTTTAATGGTTTTTGTAAATAATACTCATTTCCCATATTAATCTGATCAACATTTTTAATCTGTGCTTGATCATGTTTGTCTAATGTTGTGTTTCATCACCCCTATAGTAGAACATAGTCGTGCAATATCATTGATTGATTGGAGTTTGAAATTTACACCGTCGGATCCTTGCTCAGTGGTCTATGGGTTAAACATTCAAGCAAAAGACCGAAGTTCCCGGGCTTGACTCTCGTATGCGGGGTCGAGGATGCTCACTACTGGAAATTCCAAAGCTATAAAGAAACAGTCATCTAGTGTTTACAGGTTTTCGGTGGTGGGTTAACATTGATCGATTCATTAATTCAATGAAGTTAACCAAGAGAATAGAGTTAATACATTTAAGATCCACATGCTCATTCAGATATCGTTTTCTAAAATAAGCATACCATCGTGTTCATTTTACCTGTCTAAATAAAAGATCATAGGTTGACAACCATATCCCGTAAAGATGCAACTAGCTAAAAGACATTAACCAGAAAAAAAATCATTTACACCATTTGATCGGAGCACAAGAAACACTGAACAATCGGACTGAAAGGACCACAATAGTTTAGGCATTCAAAAAGCAATAAATTCAATATGATGAAGATACTGGATCCGAGGAATGGACCTTATTTCCGTTGTACGGAACTGGAACTTGGAGAACTACCACAATCACCATCAAAACTGTACACGTATTTGTATACAGCTGTCTACACAAGATATGTCGGATCCAATGACCAGGCACCGTAAGTAATGATCGACTATGATATCAAACAAACCAGATTTCAACTAAGGAGGAGATGAGGAAAAGAGACTGGAAGTGGATAAGACACACTACGGAAGTCATCAAACTGCATCACAAAGTGAGCATCAACTTGGAATCTTCAAGATAAAAGAGAAAGCAGTAGACCAAAGAACACATGGTTCAGGGAATCGGTGACAGACACTGATATATTGAGATGTAATTAAGAATGATAAGAATATTTAACAAATTAGAGGTGTGACTAAACTTGAAACTGTAAATGATTAGATGAGGATTTAAATGAGATATATTTATTTAAACTGTTGGTTATTGGTCTTGTTAGTGTCAACCAAATCATGTGTTCAAGCACATTTCTAATTAATTTGCAATATAATAACGTATAGTTAACACCGAATGAATGAGATTGAAGCTTGTTTTATCTCTAGTAGAGAATTCTTAAATGTTCTCATTTAACCAATGAATTACTGACACTCAAACTTACTGTAACTGCTAATTTGGAATTAAAGTTAAAGAGGTATGAACCCCCAAATGCCTTGGTACGATCGAGGGTTGGCAAAGTCCACTCTCACTCTCGAAATGCTCTCACATGGCCACTGCAGAGGAAGTTCTATTCCTTGCCCTCTCGTAGCAAGGGTGTTGTTTACAAAATTGGGAGGGCGGACGAAAAGCGGATATTCGGAGCTTTAACCAGGCTAGTGAATATGGAGGATCCACCTAAGGGAGTTGGGAAACCCTGATTTTAAACCAATGGTATACATGGGTTTTCAAGATCCTGGAGTAACAAATGGCGTGTGAACTAATTGTTGGTCACCTGCTACCATGGGACTGCATCTCCATACATTGCTCCACTGCCTTGTGGATCAAACCCCTAGGTCGAATGCTCCGGGTGTAGCACCCTAAGAAAACCACCTGATTCAGCTTGGGCACCCGGGCAGTATCATAGCCCACACACAAATCAAGTGACTTGTGTGGCACATATATATTCTGTACCCCTTTGTACCAATATTTATGCGTTCAATTAAAATAAATAAAAATAAAATAATAAAGTTGAATGAAATGTAAATCCCGCTGTCTTATACAGTTGTACCAAATCACTATCATCAGACGCCTACACAATTAGTCCTAACCTTTGAATAGATAAATCATCTTAATCCTTCTACTTATCTTATCATTTATAGTTCTCTCCCATGCCAAATACCCACATGTAAACTTGGCCATACTTTATACATTTATATATGCTAGTGCTTATCTCTTGTATCTTTTTCATATTCATAAATATTGGCCTATCTATTACTCATTGAGTTGACTACTTCTACCATTCCACTTCATATCTGTTTTTATATTCGTCTCTTATCGTTCTCCTGCTTTGGGAAATATACGTACTTTAAATACTTTTCTACTCGACTTTTTAATATCTACACTGTTATTGGTTTAGATTTGTTGACAGAATCTATAAGAAGTGAATAGAAGATCTATTACATTAAGGTCAATAGTTGTTCGATGATTAAGGAATCACACATAGGATAAATAAAAACAAAAACAAAATTGTAATGTACTTAAATATAACTTCAATTGAAAGTATGATTATTTTATCAAATTATTCTTTCATTTTGAGAAAACTGAATTTAAATTTAATATCAGAAGGGGTTTTTTGTGGATATTATAGTAATTTTATTAGTTGAGATCACGAACCAATTGACGCTAGACCACCATGGAAAACCTGGAAGCACTGGACGGCGGGATCGTGGATGAGCACTGCCCTAGGTTTCAGTGGTTGAATAGCCTGCCTATAAGTATGTTTTCTTGTTGGAAAAGAAATCTTATTCCATTGTCATCATACACTTTTGATATTATCAGAAGGAGGGTTTGTGGAGATTTTAGTAATTTTATAGTTGACATCATGAATCAATTGAAGCTAGACCACTATGGAAAACTTAGATCGTGGATGTACACCGCTGAGGAGTCCCACAACAAGACAAAACAGACATTCACTGCTTCCAGGTTTTCCATAGTGGTCTACTTTCAATTGATTCATGATCTCAACTATTAAAATTACTATAATATCCGCAACAACCCCTTGTGATCTTCATCAACATATACTCACTAGTGACTGACTTCAAGAGGTATTTCCTGGAGTTCTAGTGTGAAGCAGTAACCAGTGAAGTTCAACCAGGTCAGTTGTGAGATAGTAACCCACTGAAGACAATAGTGGATGTGTCGCTCAATTTGGCTTCAAGATAATTCCTTAAGCTTCGTCTGTTATTCACTCTGATAACCGTTACTATATAAATCCCAACGGTATATGAAATTCAGAAAGCAAGATGAGGCACAGACTACAGTTTATTATTGGATAGCCTATATAACAAGGCTACAAACACATCAAGCGAATTGGAACAGAAAGGCTAATGCGGTATGAGCAAGCAAGTACAGAGGAGAATTCAGAGTCGAATCGAATCAATCAATACGATTCAAGCCCATTCATATACAGAAAAGTGAATGACGGATAGAACGATATTAAACCAAATAAACACTTAAGGTAAAGTGAGGAATATGTGCGTACTCTATCACATGTAACTAAGCCTACATCTTCATCAAATATAATAGTGATAATAATAATAATACGAAGAAATAGACAAACTGTTAATTGTTCTTATAACATTTTCTGTAAAATAAGTTAATAGAAGGGCTAAACTAAACTAACCGTAAACAAACTCAATTGTAGGAGAGGTACTACAAATTACCAACCAAAACTTATCTACGTAAGTAATTTGAAGTTATTATGTAATTATGATTACAGATTGTAAGTAGCTGATGAGAATCAATGTAAAATGAAACTCAGATTTACATTTTCATTACTAGTTGCCATAGGGTGATTAGTGTTCCTTTGATTTCCTCAGGTGTATAGGATTTCATCTGTTTATCTCTCTTTGTAGAAAAACCTTTCTGAAAGATTCTTGTGCCAATAAAGTCAATTACATATCCAGAATTTACTGAGTACAATGCTATCTCCGATTTGTTTTACAGTTTTCAAAGTCTTCTGAGGATTTAGGAATGTGAATGAAGCAGAATTAGCATTTCATACTTTTTTCCAGGTATAAACTTGAATAAAGAAAGAACAAATATCGTAGTAGAACTACATGAATTCATTTACTTCATAGATTCTCCTCAATCGCTTGCAACCTATTTGTTCACAAATACCCGGCTTATATTATATCCAATAGGGCTTACTAGTTAACATGTATATTCTAAGGCACATACATCGGAGTAACAGAAAGAAGGGTTTCTATCCTCACTTCTGAACATATTCCACAAAGGTTCAGACTTAATGGTAAAAAGGCTTTCAACAGTGAGATTGCTCGTCATTCGTTCGATAGTGGGGATGATATTGAAGTTGCGAAATCTTTAAAAATAATCAACAAACAAACGAATTCAAAACCGTTACACTTTATCCAAACTGTTAAAACAAAAAATCGATTTAAACCAAATTTATGTATCTAGAAATAAACAGTTACCAATCTTGTATTACCCTAATGACCATATTTTTGCAAAATTATTACATAAGACTTTGTTTTTATCTTTCTATAAACTTTAGTCAAAGTGTGGTATGGGCTACTTATATCGACATAAGTAGTAAATATCATGAATCAGGAATAGAATATCTGGTAGCAGAAGATTGAGAAGATCGTGAAGAGAAGAACAGAAACAGAAAGTAATTGATGTGAAAGTTCAAGAACAATGAAGACTGAGACAATTAATCAACATTTTGCAAATGAAGTACCAGAGTATGGCTTTCTCCATTTTATTAAGCAACTTTGTAAGTTGTACTAAATACACAATTGATTGTCCTCACCTATGTTCTCATTCACTACAAAGGCTCTAATATCTTAATTCTTACTTCTGGGATTTACCGAAGTAATTTGTAATAGTTGAGATCATGAGTCAATCGAAGCTAGATCACCATGGAAAACCTGAATGCACTGGACGGTCGTCCATTATCATATGCTCACTAGTGACTGGTTCCAAAAGGTATTTCCAAGAGTTCTAGTGGGAAGCAGTGACCAGTAGAGTTCAATCAGGTCTGTTGTGAGATATCGACTAACTGAAGAAAATAGTGGATGTGTCGCTCGATTTTGTGGATTTGTTGAAGTTAGACATAAACACGATTGGATACCGGCTCAGTGGTCTAGTGGTTAAGTGCTCTGGCGCGATACCGTCGGATACTGTCCGACTGAGTAGTCTAGAGGTTAAGTAATCGGGCGCGAGACTGAGAGGTCCTAAGTTCAAATCTCGCAAGACGGGATGGTGAATGCGCACTACAGAGGAGTCCCACAATAGGACGAGGTGGCCGTCCAGTGCTTCCAGATTTTCCATGGTGGTCTAGCTTCAATTGATTCATGATCTCAACTATATAAACAATTGCTATTTGTTTGAATTCTTTCCAGAACCATGTTAATTTATTTTTAGTGCTATTCTACCAATACAAATCTATTCAACTCATCATAATCCTATTCTCATTTATAAACAATCTATTTTTAGAAATAAATATCTTTCTGTTTATATCCTGAAAAATTTTGTTTTCCTCTTCTTCACCCTTACCCCCCCCCGCCTCGTTTTCTTTTTTGCTTTTTATCCAACTTTACACTTCTCTTTTCATCATCTTTCTAATGTATATCTTAATCTCTATCTATTTCATTTAATAGATAGGGTATATAATGACATTGTTGATATATATTCCAATGGGAAAACGCACTTTTCATAATGTACTTTTTTTCTTTCTCCACAATACAAACACTACCAAAGTAAATTTGTCTTTCCCTTATTTATGTAAAAGATAAAAAAATATATGACTCACTTTCAACCCTTTATTCCCAATAAGTATTAGGCATCTTTATAATGTGGATTGTTGTGTAGACCACAATAATATAACAATGATGATTTAGAAGTATTGCCTATCATGTATTAGATGTAAATCCATCATGAATATCCATAAGTTTGGTTACATTATTGTAAGGGATTAAATAAAAGATGGTAAAGATAAAGAAAAAAGAAGAAGAAGAAGAAGAAGAAGAAGAAGAAGAAACAACAATGAATGTATATGGATACATGTGTATGTATGTGTTTCCTGATATATGACAATTTTGTAGACCAGTACTCTCTCTCTCTCTCACTCACTCACTCACACACACACACTCTCTCTTTTTCAATTTTTCCTAGGCCTGTGAACACTATAAAAGCTTCTAATTATTATTGTAAACCTTTTGTATATGAATATAACTTATTGATGATATAATTTTAAAATATGGATTTACTCAATGGGAAATGTTCGAGTAAAACAATAAAATATAATAGTACTACTGAAATTACTGATTGTGATGGTAAGTTGATTGGTAAAGTTTACTTTTTTCTTTTTTCTTCTGTGATTAATGTTATTCGTTGTCTTACTATTAAAATATATGATAGAAATGATTATGTTGAATACTGTTGGTAATGAAGTTTAATATTTAAAAAAACAGTGGAACAATACTGTTACTTACTTACTTACTTACTTACTTACACCTGTTACACCTCCTCGACGAGCATAGGCCGCACACCAGCATTCTCCATCCAACCATGTCCTCGACAATCCTTTCCAGTTCCTTCCAGTTAACATTCATCCATTTCATATCTGCTTCTATTTCCCACAGTGATGTGTTTTTTGTCCTTCCTCTTTTCCACTTCTTTTCACCATTCCAAGTTAGTGCTTGCCTCGTGATGCAGTTTGTTGATTTCCTTAATGTATGTCCTATCCATTTCTAATGTCCCTTACTAATTTCCTCTTCATCTGTAAGCTGGTTTGTCCTCTCCGATAAAAGACTGTTGCTGATGATATCCGGTCAGTGAATGTTGAGTAGTTTGCGTAGACAACTGTTTATAAATACTTGTACCTTCTTCACGATGGACTTAGTGGCAGTTGTTCACGTTTCACTTCCATACAGTAGAATTAACTGTCTTGACGTTCGTATTGAAGATCCTCACTTTGAAATTAGTTGACAGTTGTTTTGAGTTCCATATGTTCTTCAATTGTAGGAATGCTGCCCTTGTTTTGCCAACCCTCGCTTTTGCATCTGCATCAGATCCTCCTTCTTTATCAATGAGGTTTCCCACGTGACAATACTGTTAGCAGCAAAATAATAACTTTTTAATGGATTATTGATTATGTGGGCTTTGAGTTAATTATCTGTTCACCAGGGTACCATTAGCTGAAATTTAATGCTACTAATGTGATAATATTGGATTTGACAACTGAAATGTAGGGATACCGACTAAATATTCAAAAACAAATATTGTTACATTGAACCTTTAATAACGAGTTTAGTTCCAACAATAAAATATATTAACAAAGAGATCGAATGGCAATGGAGTCTCCACCGAGTCCATTATTAACAAAATATTTCTGGTTTGATGTGGAGGAGTGATGGATCCTTAAGGAGGTTCATTTACAGAAAACAAACATGGAAAGGGCAACTGACTAATTTCTTAATTTAAGTTCCATTAATCAGAAAGAGGAATTCTAATTACTCTTTATTTTCAGAAGGTGTTTTGTGGATATTATAATAATTTCAATAGTTGAGATCATGAGTGAATTAAAGCTAGACTACCATGGGAAACCTGGAAGCGCTGTACGGTCGTTTTGTCTCATTGTGGGACTCCTCAGCAGTGAGCATACACGACCCCGTCCTCTGACCTATCAGTCTCGCGCATGAGCGCTTGACCTCCAGACCACTGATCCGACATCCAACAGTGTTAATGTCTAACTTTAACTCCACGATCCCAAGACTTTTTATTTGCATACAATCTTTTATATATGTTAGCTACACTACATTATCTAGCATTACAACCTTAATAATGACATCATCATGTTTATTCATTGTGCAAATGTATACATATACACACGATTGTACAGTTTGATAATAAATTCGTTTAAAAGGGATCTCTTGGCTGAACTTCATGTTTTTAATACTCAAACAAGAATCATAATTCTGTTGTTTATATGAATGAAATGCTTATATGAGAGTATAACCATGGAATGATGGATAAAGAAATTTTGATCTGAGATAATGAATAATAATTATTTTACAACTTGGAAAATAGTTAAACTTGTTGTAGATTCAAAGAGAAAGAATAGACTTTTAAATAAAACTCAATTTAAATTTACTTGGTATTGTTTGGTTGAATCTTCCCATTGATGTACGGGACTGCAATTGATCAGTCTCTTATTGGCCATATATGCATACTGTGCGTATTGCCTCCATATAGTCTTAATTCACATGCATTATAAGCAAAGATGGATAGTGGCTAGCAGTGGATTATAGGACGCGTGTTTGGTCCTATTTGCAGTCCTAAACATCAATGGAAAGATTCAAACAAACAATACCAAATGAATTTAATCTTTACCCCATTGCACAAGCAAGTGGCTATCACAACTCAGTAGCTAAGTGGATAACTCGATGGCGTTTGATGGGTTCGAATCCCAGAGTGAACATCAACTCTGAGATGCAGGTACATCCAACTGACGAGTCCCAAATAGGACGAAACGTGTGTCCTCGATTCCACTGCTAGCCACTATCCATCTTTGCTTACAACACTCAGTTTGACTAATTATGAAATTTTCCACATAAAACTTATTAGTATAGGGGAATGTTTTCTTTTCAAAACCTTAGTTTTCTTTTATCTAAATGAAATCAATTTGCTGAAGTACGTTATGATATTACTTGCTTCTAGTAAGTGTGAAAAATAATACGGTTATCGGTTAAATGAATGAATCAAAGAATACTAACCAATATCATATTTTTCTAGGTCTTGGTGCTTATTAAACTTTAATGAACTTATTTCAATCCTATCACTAGTCCACGCTTGTTATCATATAGTAAACTAATTTTTGATGACTATTGCAGAATAAACAAACGATTTCCAAAGTTCTAATAAGAAGCCGCGATGAACGGAATAGATCCATGTTGGATGTGTGACAGGTGGAAATCAGCGGTAATGGGATACGGTTGCGTAGAATCTCGAACCTATTTCATTTAAGCGAATAAACTATTGTCTATTGAATCAGTGTTCTAGAGGTTAGCAATTCCTGTGAAACCTTCAGGTACTAATTTCTGTCCCTGATGAGGTTGTGGATGAACACTCCAGAGGGAACCTACACTAAGGTTCCTAGAGGAATCCAGTTACTGTTTAGGTGAATGCTTCTTCAACGTTTATAATTATCTAAAAGAGAACTGTGATTTGTGTAAAGCTACATAAAAAGAATCATATTGCCATGCTTGTCATTTAAACGAATCTATCTTGTTTATGGATACTTGACCTACTTAGTCAAATTATCATTTTTTATTATAATATCAGCTTATTGTATTCCTGGGGACAATCCAACCATCCCAAGACACAGTGAGATTTGTTTGAAAGAGATCAAAATCTTTTATTCATATGAAAATAAACCCCGAGAAAAGGTTATACGTGGCAAATTATGGTTGAACAATGATACTGTAGAGTACTTTAATATGATTACCTACCACAATTAATATGTGAATGAGAACGATGAGTAGTCTGTTATATTGAAGAAGTATCAACAGTGAAATAATTCCTAATAAGCTAAAATGACAATCATTGTATAAAAGTAATAAAGTTAAGTGCTGAATAACTTATTCAGGCTATCCAAGTGAATAGGTATTAAAATAACATAATGAACTAGCTAACCAAAATCGTTTATTTTGGTAAAATAACACACGAATATACAATTATTTGAATTCATGAGTCAATTAAAACTAGGCTAACATGGGAAACCTGGAGGCATTGGACAGCCGTTTCGTCCTAGTATGAGACTCCTCAGAAGTGTGCATACACGGTCCCATACTAGGACAAAACAGCCGTTCAGTGCTTTCAGATTTTCTATGATGGTTTAGCTTCAATGGACTCATAAATTCAACAATTGAAATTATTATCTACCTATCAAGATTCTATGACTTCGTACCATTAGATCTCTTTGCATACAAATAATGATCTTTTCAATAATTGAATCAAGATTGTGTTACGTGTAATTTTAAATCTAAATAACATAAATATTCAATTTTTATCTCAGATTTTCTGATTATTCTCTCCATAATCGATTGATGATCTTTGAACAATAGTCATGTATCAAGGAATTATTTCACAATGTTCCCACTATATTACTTTACTTACATACTTACGCCTGTTACTCACAACAGAGCATAGGCCGCTGACCAGCATTCTCCAACCCACTCTGTCTTGGGCATTCCTTTCTAATTCTATCCAACTTTTGTTCATTCTTCTCATGTCTGTCTCCATTTCTCGGCGTAATGTGTTCTTTGATCTTCCTCTTCTCCTTTGACCTTCATGATTCCATGTGAGGGCTTATCTTGGTTCCCACTATATACGCTATACTAATACATTAAATAAATACTATTCCATAGTTAACCTCAAGGACCGATTACAGTTAAACATAAATATAAGTATAAATGTAGACAATAGAATTTTTCAAGTTTCATTTATTGTTTATGTTGTTAACATACTCATTAACTCGATCATTCAGTTGCCATGGTAACTAAATAAAAAACATCTCATTTTAAATTCTTAATCTGTTCTAAAAAAAGCAGTGAATTATGTTAAAAAGTTACAAGTTTAGATGGAAAAAAATGTTCTTTTCTTAATTCCATCTGTATAGAGACACTGAAACTTATGTTATGATTACACGATCTGATTATGTTAATTTGGTACAACAGGACATACTAGTTTACAGAATCATATATTTAGAATTTCATAAGAAGTTAATTGTCATACATTCAGATGATAGTCACCATGTAGGTCAATGTTTTCTTGTTGACAATCTTCAGTAAGGAATGAAGGAAACAGGGGAAGTACGGTAGGAGTTATGAGGGTAGGGTGGGGTGAGTTGACAGTGATTATCATTGTATAGTTGCCCATTATTTCATGTCTTAAATTATTAGCTGAGAGCATACTAAGATAGAAGTATAAGTTATGTAATGTCGGATTATCTAAGTAACATATACATATTATGAGTAGTATTATTCTAATATCTCATCACTATGACTACTACTACTACTACCACTAGTAGTATTGCTATGATTATTGTTTTTATTAAGTTCCCTTTTTTAAAAGTACCCAGTTAGTTTAAAATCAAGTAAATGAGTGACATCAATCGAGAAAGAAAAAAAAAGTATGCGAAGGTGTTTAAGAGAAAAAAGTTTGCATTCCTTTTTTAAAGTTGTGCCGAAGGTTTCTGATTATGTTTCTATGTATTGATAAGACATGACAAGAAACTGAAAGTATAAATACTCAACTCACTCAGAACTAATAATTGAATCATAAAAAAATACACAATCTTCATTGAAAACTTCTTATTCATTAGTTACATAGAGATAATGGGTAAGTAGTATATTATGGAACGTTTATACAATTAAAGTATGTTTCAATAGTAGTTTTTATTGGTAAAACATCAATACTAATCTGTAATTTTATATAGTTAAGATCATGAGTCAATTGAAGTTAGACCACCATGGAAAACCTGCAAGCACTGGACGACCACCTCGTCCTAATGTGGAACTCCTCAGCAGTGCGCATTCACGATACCTACAAGCGAGATTCCAAACCAGGACCTAACAGTTTCGCTCGCGACCGCTTAACCACTAGACCACTGAGCTGGCCGGCATCCAACGGTGTTTATGTCTAACTTCAATCAATCCACGAAATTGAGCAACCATTCACCAATGTCTTCAGTGACTTCATATCTCTACAACAGACGTGGTTGAACTGCAATGGTCACTGCTTCTCATTAGAACTCCAGGAAATACCTTTTGAAGCCAGTCACTAGTGAGCATAGGATCATTATCAGAAGGGAGTTTTGTGTAGATTTTAGTAATTTTATGTAGTTGAAATCATGATCATTTAATTATGTTCAAATTGTCTCAGTCTAGAAAACCAAATATGTGGTTTGAAATGGAGTACACATACTTATAATTCAAATATAATTCATTTAAAATCTGATTGTATTTCCGGAATAACAGAATTAACCTGACTTACTTACTTACTTACTGACTTACGCCTGTTACCCCTCGTGGAGGGCATAGGCCGCACAGTAACATTTTCCACCCAACCATGTCCTGGCCAATCCTTTCAATTATCTTGACACCATAAAGAAATGAACATAATTACGGATACAGTTTGACAGACAGTTTGTAATCTCTTATTATTCGTAAGGGTTAGCATGTTTGCCATTGTCGATATTCACAACGGAATCTAATCATTAGCTGTTAGTATATGAGGTCCTTAAATATATATTCCTCGATATTCTAGATAACATAAACGTCTATTATATTTTGGTGTTTATCAGCTAAATGTAATTATCATACTGTAGTGAACAGAACACTAGTTGGGGACAATCGAATGTATTTAAGCAAACATTACAGACTATCTCAGTAAATTCTGATAACCAAACAATGAACAGTCAATTTGCAAATTAACAACCAATTGTTTCAATCTGCACTGTTTCTTCTCTTATTCCATTGCTCATGCATTTTCCAGACGTTTGCGTTTCATTTCAGTTCTTTCTTCATCGGTCTACTGCCAAAATACATTCTATGTCTGACCCACACCATATACTACTTATATAGATATAAGTAGACCACACCACAATACTTGTTAACTAATTTGGCGATAAGAATGACTAAGTCGATAGTAAATACACTTGTACTTGAAACTGATAGTACTATGTTTGAATCCCAATGTAAACTACATCACTTAAATGGGGTCTCATGAAGCTAATGAATTTAAAACAAAATGAAATGTACGTCCTGAAATCTCCTGTCAGACACTATTCAAAATAATAGGAATTTTTTAGCAATAACAACAAGTTTTAGAAGTATCTTTGTAACGCGATGGCATTTGAAGCGAAAGGTACTGGGTTCGAGTCCCAGAATGAACATCAACAAGTCTGAGATGCAGGTACACCCAGCTGACGAGTCCCAAATAGGACGAAACGCGCATCAAACTGGATTCGACTGCTAGTCACTATCCATTTTTGCTTATCAATATTAAGTATCTTTGTATTTCTTTATTCAGATATATTTCTGAATCACAATGAATTTCGTCAGTATGGAACAAAAATGATTCAATATGTAGCTGATTATTTGGAAAATATTGATGAACGAAGAGTATTTCCGGAAGTACATCCAGGTTATTTAGCTAAATTACTACCGAATGAAGCACCAAATGAACCAGAAAGTTGGGAAGAAATTATGAATGATGTAGAAAATATGATAATGCCGGGGGTAAGTAACTAAAATATTAAACGTTTTTGGTGATGTTTAATTCTCTGAGTTGAAAGGAACCAAACTTCGCAACTAAGTCATCTTAAACGTAGAGAACATCACCGATAAAGGCGATCACCTTAGCGTCAAATCTTTTCCATCGTTTCAATATTTAATGTTTCAGTAATAGCGTTTGAAGGTGATTTCTTAAATCTACTAGCGAACTATCAACAACCATAAAGTACTAGACACCTGTTTCGTCCTCTTTTAAAGAACTCTTCAACAGTGCTATAGAATTAAGCTTCCATTTTGGTTCATTTTTACATGCTTAAAAATTAAAAAAAATGGAATTTGTGAATGTCAACGACTGAAATAAAGTAACCGCTGGCTTTTCTCTTCAGTCTTACATGTGTTCCTTCTGGAAATGACAAAAATCTAAAGTTTTGATGATAATTATGATCAGAAAACGACTTTCGGACTTAACAATTATCCAATCACTTTCAAATAATAAACTTCGTGAATGGAGTGAAAGACAGACGATTTTTTCCTATTCATGGATTAATCATTCATATGCTATATTCACATTGTTAAGTTCATCCATATATCTAAACCATTTTGTTTTCAATCTTTCTTTAATAAGATCAGAAAAGATCCGGATCTTATCAGGATCAATTTTATGTTATATATTTGCCCTATTTCGTAATAAAATAGATCTATTTTCGAACTTTACGAGTTGTATAGGAGTTCTTAAAAAAAAAATTGAAGTAAAAAAATGATTCTAACTTTTCATTTGCCATTTTGGTCCATGATTCTCCAAGGGAATCAATAACTTTAGACTTGATTTTCCTGTTTAAGAAAATCGGTAATTTATTACTGATTCAAAGTATACATTAATTATTCTTCTTATAGAATCATATTAAATGTTGAAATGATATTTATTATAGAAGGGGTTTTGTGGAGATTTAGTATTTATCATAGTTGAAAGCCTCGGCGGCCTATGCTCCATTGAGAGTAACAGGCGTAAGTAAGTAAGTAAGTATAGTTGAAAGCGTGAGTCAATTGAGGCTAGACCACCATGGAAAACTTGGAAACACTGGACGGCCGTTTCGTCTTATGATGGGACTAGTGGAGTTCAAAACCACGTCTGTTGTGAGATAGGAACTCACTGAAGACAATTGATGAATGGTTGCCCAACTTCGTGTATCAGTTGAAGTTAGACATTAACACCGTTGGATGCCAGCTCAGTGGTCTATCGGTTAAGGGCTTCGGCTTGAGACTGGTAGGTCCTGGGTTCGAAACTCGCGAGAGCGGGTTCGTGGATGCGCACTGCTGAGGAATCCCATGATAGGACGAAACGGCCGTCCAGTGTTTCCAGGTTTTCCATGGTGGTCTAGCCTCAATTGACTCACGCTTTCAACTATGAAATGATAATTATTTATTTATTTAAACACATAAATATTGGTACAAGGAAGCGCCAGATATATATGCACCGCACAAATCTCATTTGACTTGTGTGAGGGCTGTGATACTGTTTAGGTGCCAAAACTGAAGGAGGTGATTTTCTAAGGGTGCTATACCCGGAACATTCGACCTAAAGGTCTGATCCACAAGACAGTGGAGCATCGTGAGGAGATGCAGTCCCATGGTAGCCGGTGATCAACGATTGATTCGTACGCCATTTGTTCCCTCAGGATATTGGGACCCATGTGCACCATTGATTTGAAATCAGGGTTTTCCAACTCCCCTAGGTGGACTATCCGTGTCCACCAACTCGGTTAAAGCGCCGAACATTCGCTTTTCGTTCTCTCAATTTCGTAAACAACACCTGTGGCACGAGAAGGTAGTGAGTAGGACTTTCCTGACAGAGGCTATATACACGTGGCCATGTTGGAGCATTTCGAGAGGGAGTGTTGACTTTCCTCACTCTCGGCCGTACCAGAGCATTTGGGGGCTACGAATTACTGATCTAATTAACTGAGCACTAAAAATACTCGTTCTATTATATATCTTATTTCGTATTTTATGTTTGGAAAGTTTGAGTAAAAAGGATGAAACTAAGAGTTTAGACAAATCGTCTTGACTTTCTTGGCATTGAATTGGTAGATATATTACATGGAGTTCTGACGAAACTTACAGTCATCCTACATGTTTGATCAATGACATAATATAATAGGTATAGTTGTGGAAGTTCTGTAATTTAAGTATGTCATTTACATGATCATTTTAAAATGAAATAGCCATCGATATGCAGAGCAGTGTTTCGCTAATCTTTCACCTCGATCACCGTTATAATATCTCAACAGTGAATGAAATCAGAAGGCAAACAGAAACTGCAACAACAGTTCCTTATCAAATAATGCAGGCCAAGAAGCTACAAACACATGAGTAAGCATTAGAGAGCAAGGGCAAGCAATTACGTAGGCAAATTTATAGTCATGTTGTATAAGGGCAAAGAAAGACAGAACAAAAACTAATAATAAGATTTAAGTGCATACATATATGGGGAGGAGGATGAATCATCCAATGATACTTAACAGTTCACTAGTGACTGGCTCCATGAGGTAATTCCTAGAGTTCTAGTGAGAAGTCGTGACCAGTGGAGCAAAACCATGCCAGGTGGAGACAGGTATCTACCTCAGTACAATGGAAGATGGTCGCGCAAATTCATGGATTTCTTGAGGTTAGACATAAACACCGTTGGATGCCGGCCGACTCAGTGGTCTATCGGTTAAGTGCTCGCGCGCAAGACTGGTAGGTCCTGGTTTCGGATATCGCGAGGTGGGAGTCTCACGACAGTACGAAACGGCCGTCCACTGCTTCCAGATTTTCCATAGTGATCTAGCTTTGATTGACTCATGATCTTAACTATATAAAGTTTCTAAAATCTCCACAAAACCTCCTGATATTTAAGCAATCAACATTTTGGCAAGAGTCTGCCATGTGCTCTAGTATTCTTCAGGAAGACATACGTTCACTTTTAAATTAACCAGCTTCCCACTTCTGATTTCAGTCGGTGCCATTCAGTGTCACTGTCAGATGTGCTATCATTAAGCTATTCATATCCAATGAAAATATATATACGTCTAGCAAGAAACTTAGATTGAGCAGAGTTCCTTGTCGTTTGTCTAAAACCAATTCATATCAAAACTTGTTGAACGCGTTATTGACATACTTAAACTAATGATCATATTACATATTCATCGATGGAATTCTACTAGTACCGTAGATTTATGTACCTTAACTCTCGTTATTACTCATTTTATATTCACTAATAAATTTCTTATTTTATCATCCACGTATTTAAGAGATGATTATTAACTCTCCATATTTCAGGTTACCCATTGGCAACATCCTCATTTTCATGCTTATTTTCCTTGTGGTTGTTCATACACTTCAATATGTGCTGACATACTTGCTGATGGCATCTCATCTATCGGATTTACTTGGGTATGTTCCGGAGAAAAATTATTTTTCCCAAACTGAAATTTATATTTTTCATGAGATTCGACACTAGTGAACTGCTTAGATTAAATGTCTGACTAACACCTTAGTAAATATCAATATCCATCAACAAAACACCATCATAGTTGAAATCATGAGTCGTATGAAGCTAGACCACCATGGAAAACCTGGAGGCACTGGACGGCCGTTTCGTCCTATTATGGGACTCCTTAGCAGTGCGCATCCACGAACCCGCTCTCGCGAGATTTGAACCCAGGACCAACCAGTCTCGCGCCAGTGCACTTAACCAATGGACCATTGAGCTGGCCGGCATCCAACGGTGTTTATGTCTAACTTCAACCAATCCACGAAATTGAGCAATCATTCACCAATGTCTTCAGTGAGTTGATATCTCTACAACAGACGTGGTTGAACTCCACTGATCACTACTTCCCGCTAGAACTCCACGAAATATCTCTTGAAGTCAATCACTAGTGAGCAGGTATTTCCTGGAGTTCTAGTGAGAAGCAATGACCAGTGGAGCACAACCGGATCTGTTGGGAGATGTTAACTCATTAAAGACATTGGTGAATGGTTGCTCAATTTCGTGGATTTGTTGAAGTTATACATCAACACCGTTGGATGCCGGCCAGCTCAGTGATCTGGAGGTTAAGTACTCGCGCGCGAAATTGATAGGATCTTGTTTGGAATCTCGCTTGTAGGTATCGTGGATGCGTACTGCTGAGGAGTCTCACAATGGAACGAAACGACCTTCCAGTGGTTCCAGATTTTCCACGGTGGTCTAACTTCAATTGACTCATTATCTCAACTATTAAAATAAAAATTAGTCAATGATAATAATAATAGTAATTAAAAAGAGAATTACTTGATGAACGATGAGGAAGATCGTTTAACAATCGTTTTAATTACCCTACATGATGATGTAGACTCACTATTAACTGATATTTTTGAAATTTTACTTAAAATTTCTAACTATATTACTTCAAACTAAACGGTTTTTCTTAACATTGAAGGTTTCAAATCCAGCTTGCACAGAACTTGAACTTGTTATGATTGATTGGATGGCAAAAATCTTGAGTCTACCTGAACACTTCTTATTTGGTGAAAACAGTGGTGGAGTCATACAAGTAAGAAATAAGAAAAATCTCTATTTCAATTTTATAGTCTCTGTTGTTATTCCTGGAAGGTCAAGCACTTAACCTTATACACCAATTCAGTAAATTGATTCAATTAACATCAATATTATTTGAACTACAAGTTCACTTCTAAATCAGTTAGATACAAAAAACCATATTGTTCAGTGTAAAGTTATGGATGTGACCAACGTATCAAAATAAAATGTAAATCAGAGTCTAACTATCACAACAGGAATCGAGTATATCGTTCATTCTTTAATTTTAAGTTTACGAGAAAGATGAGTGAATAGAAAAGGGTATTAATTCAGCTGCGAAACTCATGAACTGGTGGAGACGCTTTGTTGCTCAGGTAAATGATTTTGATGGAGTTTTCTTCTCGTAGCTGGATAGTTTGGTCGTATAACTTTCATTGTTCTTCTGAACGTCATCAGATAGAAGTCTACCCGAAGTTTGTGTTGATCATGTCGTTCAGAAGAACGATGAATGCTCCACGACCAAACCATCCAGCTCAGAGAACAAAACTTTATTAAGAACTCATGAACTTAATGATTAACCATAGCAGATAGAAAGAAAAACGGAAACAGATTAAATGAAATCTATGGAATAATAAATACTTCAGTATTATCTGTACCTATTTAGGGAATCATGAGGATTTAAAGTGTTTATGTGACTTATGATTAATGATCAACTTTGGTTATTCCACAATTTACCAGTTCCATGAAATATAATTCGAGTTTACTGAAATGAAAATTCAGACTCATTTTATTTAAACTTAATAGATTAGCAAACGCAGTTGGTAAATAATCTTACTACTTACAATTTTAAATTTTTTCAACTATACTTGGATTGATTCAACTTAGTATTGTTTGTTTGAATCTTCCCATCGATTTGTTAGGACTGCAACTGATCAGTCTCTAATTGGCATATGTGCATACTGTGCGTATTGCCTCGATATATCCTAAATTCACAAGCATGGTAAGCAAAGGTACCGTGTTCAAGTCCCAGAGTGAACATCAACTCTGAGATGCAAATACATCCAACTGATGAGTCCCAAATAGGACGAAACACGCGTCCTAGATTCCACTGCTAGCCACTATCGATCTCTGCTAACTATACTTGGATTGATTTAAAATAAAACCATGATATTGTGTTATCGTATAATACCCGACTCGGATTGTCAGTTATGTTTTATTGAGCCACAATTTTAGTTATTTTCGACCTAGAACCATTGAATACTCGAACAACGGACCGTTGGATCCAAAAGAAGATTACCGTCTTATATGCGTTATATGACTAAAGATTAATTTTATCAACATAAGAAAATTAATTAGAAGAATAAGTTATCCTAAATTTGTTTCTCAAATAAAGAAATCTCCTTTCTTCTAATCTGTTAATAATTTGGCACCTCTTCAGATTCTTGGAACCTAAATACATTTATTATTTGACGATGGGTAACAGGCGTAATTAAGTAAGTAATCGGGTAAAATCAAACAGACATCAAGTGATTTAATCACTTTTCTTCAAAATATTACATTGATTTCAAAAAATCTTGTACTTACTTACGCCTGTTACCCCAGTGGAGCATAGGCCGCCTACCAGCGTTCTCCAACCCACTCTGTCCTAAGCCTTCCTTTCTAGTTCTATCTAATTATTGTTCATTCTTCTCATGTCTGTCTCCGCTTCTCGGCATAATATGTTCTAGGGTCCTCTTCTTCGTCTTTGGCTTTCAGGTTTCCATGTGAGGGCTTGTCTTGTGATTACCTCATCGTGTATCCTATCCACTTCCAGAGCTCCTTCCTCATTTCTTCCTCCGCTGGAATCTAGTTTGTTCTCACCCACAATAGAATGTTGCTGATAGTGTCTGGATAAAAATCTTGTCATTACACAAAATTCTTCTGAATTTATTTATAACTTATCAACTATTGAAGGGTTAAAGACAATCATTGGTTTATAGGTATCAATACCAATGTTGAATTCGATTCTAGTTGACGTTTTTTAGCAAGATTATTTGCTATGGGATTTTTACAAAAATGAGATATTCGTTTAACTATACTACTTATTCTTTACTTCCATAAAAGTAGACAGTTGAAACTGTAACTGATTTTAAGGGAGTTTATTATCGTAAACTCAATAAATGAAAAAGTTTAACATTTAAATTTATTACCAATTTATAAATATCTGAAGGGGGCTTGTGGAGATTTTAGTAATTTTATAGTTGAAATCATGAGTCAAATGAAGCTAGATCACAATGGAAAACCTGGAAGCACTGGACGTCTGATAGGTCCTGGGTACGAATCTCGCGAGACGGGATCATGGATGCTCACTGTTAAGGAATCCCACAATAGAACGAAACGGCCATCCAGTGCTTCCAGGTTTTCTGTGGTGATCTACCTTTAATTGATTAATGAGTTCAAGTATAATAAATATCTGTTTAATCCAAAGAAGATAATCATCCTTAAAACAATTAGAAATGGAGGAATTTCATTGAAATTCAAAAGTTTTTATCCATTTACAATTAAATATCCTGTCATACAGTGATTAGTATAATTTTAAAATGAATGAAAATTAGTCATGTATTGGTGAACATATTAAATAAATTATAAACTGGACGGTGTAATCTTTCAACTAGATTATGCACCGTTTATAAATTAACAAAAAATCTCAAAGATTACTAAATAAACGCAATTACGAACGTCAAGACAGTCCTGCTGTACGGAGCTGAAACGTGGAGGATCACTATTATGTCCATCGTCAAGAAGGTACAAGTATTTATAAATAGTTGTTTACGCAAAATACTCAACATCAATTGGCCGGATACTATCAGAAACAACGTTTCATGGGAGAAGACAAACCAGCTTCCAGCTGATAAGGAAATTAGGAAAAGGCATTGGAAGTGGATGGAACATACATTGAGGAAATCAACAAACTGCATCACGAGGCAAGCACTAACTTGGAATGGTGAAGGGAAGCGGAAAAGTGGAAGGCCAAATAACACATCACGCCGGGAAATAGAGGCAGATATGAAAAGGATGAATGCTAACTGGAAAGAACTTGAAAGGACTGTCGAGGACAGGGTTGGATGGAGAGTGTTGTTATGCGGTCTATGCTCCTCGAAGAGGGTTAACAGGCGTAAGTAAGTAAGTAACTGTGCATGAAGTAAATGCAATCCAAGTAAATGCATCAGTCGTTTATTATTTCTCTTAAGAGATTTAAAATAATAATATGTTGTTTTTTCATTATAAACCTATATGTAGGGTAGCTGCAGTGAATCAACATTAGTCGCTCTATTGGCTGCACGTAATAAAGCTATTAGACAATATCAAAGTATCCATCCCAATGCAAGTACTTATGAAGCTTTATCTAAGCTTGTTGGTTATTATTCGGATCAGGTAAGATAAACATTTTATAGTGTTACTTGTTTCTTTTTAAAACTTTTCTTCAGTCTTGAACTAGTTGATATTTCGATTATAATAGTAATTGGTTGTTTGTTCACAGATTATCAAGAGTCTTCGATGAGCATGTTTATTCGTGAAGTAAGAATAGGTCATCTAATTATTGGTGAGCCAACCTAACCGAAATTTCATGATTCCTGTAATCACATATCGTTACCTACTTACTTACGCCTGTTACTCCCAATGGAGCATAGGCCACCGACCAGCATTCTCCAACCCACTCTGTCCTGGACCTTACTTTCTAGTTCTATCCAATTGTTGTTCATTCTTCTCATGTCTGTCTCCATTTAATCACATATCGTTAGGTAGTGTTTATTCATGAAACTGTATAAGTATTTTGCTGACTAACTGCATCAGTTACTAATCTAATTCAAATGAAGAACCCCTTTTCAAAGTATATTAAAATACTTGTCAATATATCGTCAATATTTTCATTTTGCATCCATTACTTTCTGAAAGTTTATTTATGAAATTTTAGGCACATAGTTCAGTTGAACGAGCTGGATTAATAGGAATGCTTCATTTACGTGCAATCAAATCAAATGAACGTTATGAAATGAATACAAGTATATTGAAGCAAACTATTGAAGATGATGTGAATAATGGATTGTTTCCATTTTTCGTAAGTTCTCTTTTATAAATGTTTTTTGTGTGTCCAAATTCCCATGTTGACTTTAGTCTTATTACTTTCTTCCGAATGCCCTAGTATGGTCGAGATTGGAGAGAGCTTGCTCTCACTCCTGAAATACTTTCACATAGCCACGTGTATATAACCTCTGTCAGGGACGTCCTACTCACTGACTTCTCTTGGCACCGGTGTTTTTTACGAAATGGAGAGGACGAAAAGCGAATGTCCGGAGCTTTAACCGAGATAGTGGGTACGGATGATTCACCTAGGGGAGTTGGAAAACCTTGATTCCAAACCAATGGTGTACATGGACTTCAGTATTCTGATGGAACAAATGGCATATGAATCAATCGTTGGTCACCATAATTAACCCTCATATTTTTAAAAAAAAAATGACCATTAACTTTTCATTCTGGTTTGGGAACCCATGATCCACTGATGCACACAGGCTATTTTAGTTTCCAGACACATCAATTTATTCATTCGTCTTAAGCCATATTTTGATCTTATCATTCACTGTTTTTATATGATCGTATGTGTGTTAATTGCTTGCACTATACATTACATGTATGCAATTTATTTTTTTGGTCTAACTATAAATACTGAATGATGCTTTATCATATTGCGTTGGCTCACTCCCGTTCTTCACTGTACGTTATTTCATTTTTCTTCGATCTCTGCTCTTTCATTTCTTCCCTTCGTTCATTTGCTTATAATATATAAATTTACGTTTGGTTATTTTATTATCAGCTGTGGCTGTGTGATTTTCTTTCCAACTAAATTTTTATTATCAGAAGGGGTTTTGTGAAGGTTTCAGTATTTGCATAGTTGGAATCATGAGTCATATGAAGCTAGCTCTTTTCTGGTTCCTCCTCATTTGCAGATAAATCTTTGGCCTTTTACTAAAGATTTCCATCGGAAGGCACAATACAATGAGTCTTATCTCATTTTTTCCAACTACGTTTCGTTTGCAGTGGCGAAGGTGCATCTACTTTTTGTGTTCTACCAAAATCTAATCTTCTGAGTTCTTCATGTCTACATCATTTTCCTCTTTTCAAATTTATTTCACTGGATTATACTCCTTGAATAACATCTTCAATAACATCTTCCGATTACTGCTAATACTCTTACTACTTCTACAACTATGGGATTTGAATCGACAACTGCATCTCTGTGTTAATGTAAATATGGCAACTCGAACTGATGTACGTACGTGCGAAGTTCTACATTGTGATTGACTGACCGAGACCACCATGGAAAACCTGGAATCACTGGACGACTGTTTCGTCCTATTGTGGGACTCCTCAGCAGCACGCCACCATCGGACGCCCGCTCAGTGGTCTATCGGTTGAGTGCTCTGGCGCGAGACTGATAGGTCATGAGTTCGAATCTAGTGATGCAGAATCGTGGATGCGCACTTCTGAGGAGTCCCGTAATAGGACGAAACAGTCGTCCAGTGCTTCCAGGTTTTCCATGGTAATCTAGCTTCAATCGACCCATGTTTCCAGGTATGTAAAATTTTTATTGTCATTTGAAATATTGGTTATTTTGTTTCACATTTTTGTTACTATACAAGCTATGTGATAAGAGGTGGCTGAATTAGAAATCAATATTTTAGATAATTGATAGATAAAGTAGTATGTTTCTACTTCAAATTTTCATTCAGGATGTTACGTGGTTAAAATAACTTTATCAGTAAGTCGTTATTTACGTTTGATTTACTGTTTACATATTAAGATCACAGTCTTTAAATTCTAGTCATTCCTAAAGCTTCTGAATATGGCACTATTTTATCGCTTTGACAAGGACAAAACAATCGCATCTCCTTCATTAACTGTGACTACAGTAGAACATAAATATACTCAAACTGAGAAAGTTAGATCAGACCAACATGTAGTATTGAAGAAACATTTTGCTTTGCTTTCTGATCATAAACCTAGACAGTTGACTTTTAGTTCCATGAAAGATTTACTAGTTTATACTGCATACTGTCATCAACAACGAGCTACACTTTTGTTAAGTAGTTAATTCAGTATTATGGGTAAATCTACTTCTTATTTGGTCATTCTGACTCATTATGGATAGCCTCCATTTGTCGAATGCCACTAACTAAAGCATCGTTATGAACAATCTTGATCTTTGTTCATTGTAAACAATCTTGTTATGTTTATCAGTCAAGTAGGTGTTCCATACAATCATCCGCCTGTTTCAGCTCCACTTATAGCACTCTGAGATAAGAAGTATGAAATGGATTAAGTGCAGTTATGTATACTGAATTTATATTGACATACAAGTTAAAGAGTTTTCGCACTTACTAAAAATACACTGAGGCTTCAGAAATCTTAAAAAAAAACTAAATTAGTTTCTTTTTCAGTTTCAAATGAATCATGGTTTAGTATGGATGCTGATTTTTCTGGGTCATTTCATGGTACTTGTTATGTCTGTTGAATGTTTAAATGGCTTCTGCTTAATATCTGAAGACGTCTGATATAAACACGAAGACTGGTGATATAGATTTATTTGACCTTAGAGATAAACCGGAGTGTGACCTTACTCACATCTGATTACTAAACAATTATCAGACATTTGGGGGAATATGCAGCATTATTACAAATACCCAGGCTACGAACTTTACTCTGAATTAATGTAAGAAATATCATTCTGAATAAACATCACACTGAAATAAATCAATGTTAGAATTCACTTAGTAATGTTTGTTTTGAATCTTCCCATCAATGTTTAGGACTGCAACTGGTCAGTCTCTTATTGGAACATGTGCATACTGTGCGTATTGTCTCGATATTGACTTAATTCACAAAAATTATAAGCAAAGATGGATAGTGGCTAGCAGTGGAATCCATTGCACAAGCAAGTGGCTATCAAGACTCAGTAGCTGAGTGGATAACGCGATAGCCTTTGAAGTGAAAGATAATGGGTTGGAGTCCCAGAGTGAACATCAACTCTGACATGCAGGTCCATCTAATTGACGAGTCCCAAGTAAGACGGAACGTACGTCCTGGATTCCACTACTAGCCACAATCCATCTTTGCTTATAAATCAATGTTATTTTTAAAAAATCTACCGAAAATGAAACAAATATTGCTTAGAGTAATGACCATATTGAATTGAAAATGGAAGTCATGGTGAATAAAAGATCACAGTCAGTTGAAAGCATAATTTACTTTTCCATTCAACCATAACAGTCCTTTTTCACTAGTATAAGTTGATCCTTTTGCTAAACGACAGAATATTATTTCTATGACTTGTATAGTTTCAAGTGTAATTATTTCAACCACAGTCATGCACCAGACTATGGTATTAGGAAGAAAGAGTTTGACCTTGTTGAAATCATTTCTTTCACTGTCACATTCACAAGTTGCTAGAAAAAAATCGACAACTTGCATGAAACCTTGTTCAATTAGAGCTTTTTATATAGTTGAGATCATAAGTCAATTGAAGCTAGACCACCATGAAAAACCTGAAAGCACTGAACGGCCGTTTTGTTCCATTGTAGGACCCCTCAGAAGTGCTCATCCATGATCCCACCCCACGAGATTCGAACCCAGGACCTACCAGTCTCGCGCCAGTCCCATAATAGGACGAAACTGCCGTCCAGTGCTTCTAGGTTTTCCATGGCGGTCTAGCTTCAACTATATAAAATTACTAAAATCTCCATGAAACCCCCTTCTGATAGAGCTTTTTAACTCATCACTTATAGACTTACTATAATAAAACACAATCTTCTTGATTTTGAGTTATAATTACACTATTGTTAACATAGAAACTTAACTGATCTTAGAGATAATTCACCAAACGGTTTATTAATATTACCATTTATTACTAACAAACTACTGATTGGTGTACAAGGAAAAGTTTGATTAATGAAACTATCTTTAACATAATAAGCAAAGATGGATAGTGTTTAGTAGTGGAATCCAGTTTGACGAGCGTTTCGTCTTATTTGGAACTCGTCAGTTGGATGTACCTGCATCTCAAACTTGTTGATGTTCACTCTGAGACTCGAACCCGGTACCTTTCGTTTCAAACGCCATCGCATTATCCACTCAGCTACTGATTCCGGATAGCCAATCGCTTGTGCAATGGGATGAAGTTTAAAATCACTTCAACATTCTTTTTTTCTTTTTCTTTTCTTTTATCTTAAATGACTAACATATACCGAAGGTTTCTTCTAATTTATTCTCTTTTATTTGATAAAACAAGAAAGAAAAGAAAAAAAAGAAAGGAAGTTTAATCTCTTAAAATTTAAATATTTAAATTGTTCATACTTATTTATGTATTTAAACAAAATTTAGATTAACGTCATTGTAAAACTATTTTTGAAGAACTAAACTAATGAAAAGTTTGATTGTCAATAGTTGAGTAATGGTGTATACAACTGGGTATAAATATAAAGGTACAGGCTGTTAAACTGACAAGAACAGTATAGGCAAATGACATTGGCTAAATGAATAATTCATTAATCTATGATAATATCAGCTATCATTTATTGTGATTCATCAAGTGAACATTAAACAATGTGTGAACTACCCAGGTTTTAAGAAACATTTCTCATATTCATTCACTGGAAGCATTAGGAGTTTGAAGGAAAATTCTTATTCCAATATCTAAACATATTTTACTCAATGACTAAGTATAAAGTCTGATTGAAATAATTCAACTATCTACCTTTATGACCAGATTCAATCTATAGATCTTCTATCATTTTGTATTTTACTGAAACATAATTTCAGTATACCACAAAGCCAATCAACAAATATCTAATTTTAATAGATGACATCATGAGTCATTTGAAGCTAGACCACCTAACCTCTAGACCACTGAGTCGGCCGGCAACCAATGGTGTTATTGTCTAACTTCAACCAATCCATGAAATTGAACCACCGTCCACCATTGTCTTTAGGTCGTTGATATCTCACAATAGGCGTGGTTGAACTCCAACGTTCACTATTTCTTACTAGAACTCCAGGAAATAACTCTTGAAGCCAGACACTCAAATTCATGAATTAGTTAAAGTTAGACATTAAAACCGTTGGATGCCAGTCAGCTCAGTGGTCTAGAGGTTAGGCGTTTGCACGCGAGACCGATAGGTCCTGGGTTCGAATCTTGGGGGACGAGATCGTGAATGTGCACTGCTGAGGAGTCTCACAATCGAACGAAACGACCTTCCAGTGGTTCCAGATTTTCCACGGTGGTCTAGCTCCAATTGACTTATGACCTCAACTATTAAATTACTATAATATCCACAAAAGTCCGTTCAAATATGTAATTGTTAGAATACTTAATGAGCATTTTATTTTGAGTTGAGTATTAGCTTACCGACTATTTGTAATAGACACTGTATGTGCTATAAAATGAAATAGGTCTGTTACTGCTAGAGTTAGCTGAGACTCAAATTCATCTTAGAAGCCTAAGAATTCTAGAAAAGAAATAAAAACACACATTAGCAGTTGAATACTGTTCTTATTAGTTGATCAATATCGATGATGCCTAAATCAGGTTGTAGTTGTCTGATTATTTTAATATCTAGTTGCTTAACAAGACATTTAGGAAAATGAACCGTCTTAATGAACATGATTCATTGCAAAACGATGTGAATGGTTTCAGTTCTAAACAAATAAAACATATTACCATCTGCTATGTAAAACTTGCATTGATACATTTGTATGTCGTCTAATTACTAACATTATCCACTAGTTTATAAGGATTCTTTGATTCCTTTTTCTTGTGACTGAAAACCTCGACATCTGAGGGGAAGCACGGAATACAATAGACAGCACAGAATCAATTCGATGATTTGGACTTCGTAGATGACTTAGCTCTCCTATCTCATACACACGAACAAATACAAACGAATACAACTAATGTAGCAGTAGCCACTGTATCAATAGGCCACAATATAAACCAAGGAAAATATAAGATTCTCAAATACAACACAGAGAACACCAAGCCAATCACACTTGGTGGAGAAACTCTGGAAGAGGTGGAAACATTCATCGACCTGGGAAGCATAATTGATAAACAAAAAGGATCTGATACAGATGTAAAAGCGAGGACTGGCAAAACAAGAACAGCATTCCTACAATTGAAGAACATATGGAACTCAAAACAACTGTCAACTAATTTCAAAGTGAGAATCTTCAATACGAACATCAAAATAGTTAGTTCTATAGTACAGAGCTGAAACGTGGAGAACTACTAAATCTATCGTCAAGAAGGTACAAGTATTTATAAATAGTTGTTTACGCAAAATACTCAACATTCATTGGCCGGATACTATCAGAAACAGCGTTTCATGGGAGAAGACAAACCAGCTTCCAGCTGATAAGGAAATTAGGAAAAGGCATTGGAAGTGGATGGAACATACATTGAGGAAATCAACAAACTGCATCATGAGGCAATTTCTAATTTGGAATGGTGAAGGGAAGCGGAAAAGTGGAAGGCCAAATAACACATCACGCCGGGAAATAGAAGCAGATATGAAAAGGATGAATGCTAACTGGAAAGAACTTGAAAGAACTGTCGAGGACAGGAATGAATGGAGAAAACGGGTGCGCGGCCTATTCTCCTCGAAGAGGGTTAACAGGCGTAATTAAGTAAGTAAGTAAGTACCAGTGATCGCTGATCATTAAGTTAAATGCATTTTATCCAATTTTTTGAAGTCTTTAATATAATTTTACTCATCACAATATTTTATTTCTGATTGTTTAAGTGCTGTGCAACTTTGGGAACTACATCAACTTGTGGATTTGATAAATTAAAAGATATTGGACCTATTTGCGATAAATACAATATATGGTTACATATAGATGCAGCATATGCTGGTTCATCATTTATATGTCCAGAATATAGATATTTGATGGATGGAATCGAAGTAAGTGTAGTTTTTTTATTCCATTATTTCTATGTGAACAGTTTTGAAGTTGGCAAAGATGGATAGTGTCTAGTAGTGGAATCCAGTTTGACGCGTGTTTCGTCCTATTTGTGACTTGTCAGTTGGATGTACTTGCATCTCAGAGTTGATGTTCACTTTGGGACTTCAACCCGGTACCTTTGCTTACCATGCTTGTGAATTAAGGATATATCGAGGCAATACGCACAGTTTGCACATATGCCAATTAGAGACTGATCAGTTTCAGTCCTAACACATCAATGAGAAGATTCAAACAAAAAATACTAAATGAATTTATGTGTTGAAGTTGTTAATAAGGCTTCTGTTTATTTGCACACATGTTGCCAGTTTAGTTTGACTTATTCACCTAGTTTCTGTTACCGATGGATGCTTTGAACTTGTATAATGGATCAATAATGCATGGATTATGTTGAATAAAATATATAAAGATTCGGGCATTATTATCAATAACTGAAGTAAGATTCAAGATTTTACATGTTTGAGCATGTCCATAACAAACAATCAGTAGTATCTGATGTATCACTATACAAGATTAATGTTTAGCGGTTTGTTGTGTTTTACATTTTAGCTGTGTAACATGAATTTTAAGGATAGAAGATATTCGTAGGTTACTAGTCTTAGATTCTAAATACATTTGAAATACTGATCACATATGCTGGAATTATGGAGTGAGTAATACTAAATTTAGATGAATGGTACTGGATGAATGTGATAAATTGGTTGTGGAGGTAGTGAATCTCTGTGGTTTAAGGTAGTTGAATTATGTATTACGTATAGCGAACCATCACCTAGCTCAATATGCGATGTTGTCTGGTGTAGGAATAGGTGAATCCATTCCTTCTTTTTTAATTATATTGTCTATATCTGATTTTTTTTTCTACTATTATTATCTTCTAGTAACTAAGTGGCAATACTAGGGTACTCCTCTTTGAGTGCACATATAGCAACAGAGACTGACCATTTTTGTAGTTCTTATTATCAGTTAAACATTCGAACTATTAAATATATTATTTTCAGTATAATCTCACATTCATTACAATATATAATAATAGAGAAATAACCAGAAAAGCACCCGACCATAATAATGAGAGACCTGAACTCCAAGATCAATATGGGCTGTATACGTGTGCCCATGTGAAAGCATTTCTAGAGGGAGAATGGACTCTCCGCACATTCAGCCATACTAGGGCATTCGGGGACTGGAAAGAGTAAAACTATCTTCTTTGCTTATTTCATTGCTTTATGATTCTCCATATTTTTTAAAAATTTGTCCATACAGTTTTCTTGAACTAAAAAAGAATCACTTTTACTGTTTATTTTTAGTATGCTATGTCATTTGTATTCAATCCACATAAATGGTTACTGATTAATTTCGATTGTTCAATTGTATGGTAAGTTCACATTTGAAAGTACACAGTAACTAACTTCATATTTCGATAATGATCAATATCTGTGTATTTACCATAAAGTGACATACCATCAAAATTGATTATATTTTCAATAAGCTTAGTTGAAAACCTTTGTAAGCAAAGATGGATAGTAGCTAGCAGTGGAATCCAGCTTGACGCGCGCTTAGTCTTATTTAGGGCTCGTCAGTTGGATGTACCGGCATCTCAGAGTTGATATTCACTCTGAAACTCGAACACAGTACCTTTCGCTTTAAATGTCATCGCTTTATCCACTCAGCTACTGAGTCCTGATAGCCGCCCTTGGTTGTGCAATGGATTGAAGTTTAAATTCACTTGATATTGTTTGTTTGAATCTTTCCACTGATGTTTAGGACTGCAATTGGTCAGTCTAATAGGACGAAACGCTTGTCCTAGAATCCACTGCTAGACACCATCCATCTTTGCTTACTATGCTTGTGAATTAAGGCTATATCGAGGTAATACCCACAGTATGTACATATGCCAATCAGAGACTGACCAGTTGCAGTACTAAACATCAGTGGGAAGACTAAAACAAGTAATACTAAGTGAATTCAAGTTGAAGACTGCTTTTTTAAATTAATATAATGTAATAACTCTGCTTTAAAAGTGTTAAGGGAAACTAATCAATTTAAATGCGCTACATCTATGTCAGCAAACTCTGACACAATAGTTTTATGAGGATGGAAATTATTTGCATAAATTGTCCAGCTACAATCTCATGTTCATGATCCATCGTAATATCTTGTATGAGTAATTCAGTTATTAATAAACGATGTGTTTAGTTGTGTTGTAGTATATGCTACTAATGTTGAATGATATAAGTAGTATGTATCATCAATCAAAAGTGAAATGTCTGACGGCAGATGGTTAAAAAGATCAAAGAAAAAAGAACGAGAACAAAGATTGATTGGAATGGAAACAAAAGAACAAAGAAATCTGAGATGATTGACCGATATTTGAAAAAGGAACACTCTAGTCTGAGACAATTGATAGACGTTTTGTAAATGAAGTATTTATTGTATAGTTCTCAGATTTTGCTAAGATGTCTTGTAATTTGAGTTCAAAAACGTTCGGTTGTCCTTATTTATACTGTTCTGCTGACGCCGTTGCAGGCATGCAACTGAGGTGGTATCAAATGACTGAAGCGTTTACTTAGCATTTAAGCTACTCTGTTATATCTGTAGTAAATGTTACGATGGGAGTACGTCTATCATTATCATTTTCCATGACAGTACTTTTCATTTTACTAAGTATCATATGGAATGATCTCATTTTTTTTACATACTTTAAATGTTGATTTTAATCAGTTAACTATTTTTTTTTCTAGGTATCGGGAAGTGAACTGGGTAAAAAATTCATTTCATGTTGATCCACCATATTTGAAGCATAAACATCAACAAACAACCATAGATTTTCGAGTAAGAACTTCCTTTTTACATCATTAAAGTTTTATACCTACAGATAATAATTGATATTGAAAGTAAACAGGACTCAGACAAGAATTCCAGTCAATCTCTCAACTACCGAGAATCTTTTTTCTATTTTAATACATTTACAAAATGATGGAATGTTATCAAGTTTGTCTCATATTAATAAGTATTGACTTTCTGCCCCCAAATGCCCTGGTACGGCCGAGAGTGGGGAGAGTTCACTCTGGCTCTCGAAATACTCTCATATGACCGCGCGTATATAGCCTCTTCCAGAGAAGTCCTACTCACTGCCTTCTTGTGGCATTACTGTTGTTTACGAAATTGAGAGAACGAAAAGCGAATTCGCGGAGCTTTAGCTGAGTTGGTGGATATGGATGATCCACCTAGGAAAGTTGGAAAACCTTCATTCCAAACCAATGGTGCACATGGACTCGTTGGTCACCGGCTACCGTGGAACTGCATGTCCTGATGATGCTCAACTGTCTTATGGATCAGACCTTTAGGTCAATGGCTCCGGGTGCGGCCCCCTAAGCAAACCACCTGCTTCGATATGGGTACCCGGGCAGTATCACAGCCCTCACACAAATCAAATGAGATTTGTGAGGCGCATATATATTTGATACCCCCCTTGTACTAATATTTATGTGTTTCAATAAACAATTAAAAAAATTTAACTAAGCATTAGGTTACGATGAATTTGTAGGAAACCCTATCTTTAACAACTGAATAAGAATAGAGGTATAGTATAGTTTATTTAGAACTTGATTTTAAACTTTAGTGTAGTTTCCAAAACATCTACATGATGTAGCTTGGAAATAATTCAGTGAACAAGAACACGACTGGGGACAAATTAAGGTATTTAAAACCAGATTACAGACTATCTCACTACTATTTCGTTACAACAAAATGAATCTTCTAGATGTAAGTTAGAATTAAGTCAGGTTTCAACATTTTTTTTAGAGTTATTCTAATGAGAATGATATTACTAATCATCGAAACCCCTTTACATGCATAGTTAATAACGATTTATTATAAAAGAAAGAGTGATTACCTCTTAGTTACAATCAAAACATTGATAGAGTTAAATTCCATCAACAATTTACTATATTATCATATTATTTTAAAGTTATTAACTATGTAAATAAATAATGTTATCAATTTCTCCCCCTCCCCTTTCTCCCCTCCCCTTTCCCCCCTCCCCTTTCCCCCCTCCCCTTTCCCCCCTCCAGCATATGCAAATTCCATTGGGTCGGAAATTTAGATCATTGAAACTTTGGTTCACTTTAAGAAGATATGGTGTTAAAAATCTACAAGCATATATTCGTAATGTAAGTTGTAATTCATTATTGATGAAGGCAAATTCTTTTTTTTAGCATATAGAATTGGCTCATTATTTTGAAGAACTTATAAGAGCTGATGATCGTTTTGAAATTGTTGCTGAAGTTCTAATGGGCTTAGTTTGCTTTCGAATTAAGGTTAGTTTAACATAAAATTGTATAGTGAAATAAATGTACCATTTAAAATACCAAAGAGTAGAGAGAAAGATCCTATCGTTCACGACTGGTCTGTGTGTGTGTGTGTGCGGTCAAAGCACACAATCGATATTCGTGTAAAACTTACTTTCAAAACAATGATTTATTTGATAAAAAAACATTTTTAATAGTTGAAACCATGAGTGAATTGAAGCTAGATCACTATGGAAAATCGGGAAGCACTAGAAGTCTGTTTCGCCCTAGTGTGGAACTCCTCAACAGTGAGCATCCACGATCCCGCCTCGCGAGATTTTAACCCAGGACTTATCAGTTTCGCGCGCGAGTGCTTAACCTCTAGAACCACTGAGTCGGCATCCAACGGTGTTAATATCTAATCTCAACCAATTCACAAAATTGAGCAACCATTCACTATTATCTTCAAGGAGTTGAAATCTCCCAACAGACCTGGTTGAATTCCACTGGTCACTCATTCTCACTAGAACTCCAGTAAATCTCTCTTGAAGCCATTCACTAGTGTTGATTGAGACATATTCAAACTATCAAAAGATACCTTCAAGTATGAATAATGAACAAAATACCTTACTGAAGGAGGCCTGCATGAATAGCGGGGTTACCAGTTCCTTCCATCTGGATATTATAACAAGTTATCTAATTTCTTTTTTTCTTTCAACACATCATTATTTCTATCAGTCTCATAACCTATTCAGGTGCGTTTGCGATGATTTTTCAACATTTCTCTGTACAAGTTACAAAAGTGCCCCATCAAACACATCGTGGTTGCTGGCAATATTCACCGAAAAGAATATAGATTATTCAGATTTCCATTCCTGGACTACTAACTGCTTACTGACAACCACTCAATATTTGATCGTCAGGATCGATCAAGCAATATGAAACGGAAACTTGTTGAAATACTTTGCTCTGAAAATTGTATATTGTACCAAAAATATAATAATGATGAAAGCCACTTATAACAATAATTATAAGTAAACTGTCTGTTGATTTCATTTGGTATTGTTTGTATGAATCTTCCCATTTATATTTAGGACTTCAAATGATCAGTCTCTTATTGGCATATGTACATACTGTGGGTATTGCCTCGATATAGCCTTAATTCACAAGCATGGTAAGCAAAGATGGATGGTGGCTAGCAGTGGACTCCAGGACAAGCGTTTTGCCCAATTGCGGTCCTAAACATCAATGAAAAGATTCAAAGAAACAATACCAAGTGGATGTAAACTTTGCCCCATTGCACAAGCAACTGGCTATTAGGACTCAGTAGCTGAGTGGATAACACGATGACATTTGAAGCCAAAGGCACTAGGTTTGAGTTTCAGAGTGAACACCAACTCTGAGATGCCGGTACATCCAACTGACGAGTCGCAGATAGGACGAAACGCGCATCAAACTGAATTCCACTACGAACTACTATCCATCTTTGCTCATAATATCTGGTTGTTTGTTTCATTCACTTCAATGTGTATCCTTCTTTCTTCTTTTCTTCTTCTTCTTCTTCAAAGGATAATAATGAATTAACCAAAGAATTATATCATAATATTGAAGCTGATGGTAGAATTCATTTAGTATCATCTGAATTACATTTACCTAAACCACTTTATTTTATACGTTTTGCTATTTGTTATCATTCACCTAATAAACATCATATTGATTATGCTTATTATGTCATTAGTGAATTATGTAAAAAATTATTATTACAATCAAATTTAATTAAAAATAAACAATGTAATCATGAAGATATTAATTTAATGCTTTTAAATAATGAAAATAATAATTAATCAATCAAAAATCGTAGCGGAGGGATTTGAATTCGGCGCTGAGAAACTATTCAGTCTCATTTAAACAAAAAAGTTCTGATATATACATATATGTATGACATTTGTTTATTTATAATTCAAAATTAAATTCAAATTGTTTTTTTGTTTATAGTTGTGGATGTTTAAATGTATCATTAACTCTTATCGTAACTTTTTGTTGCTTTTGGTGGTGGTGGTGGTGGTGGTGTTATTGTCATGGTAACAATTTATATTTGTAAATTCGTAGCAAAGGGATTCAAAATCAGCGCTGAGAAACTATTTACTCTAATTTAAACAAAAGTTCTGATGTATACATATATGCATTACATTTGTTTATTTATAATCCAAAATGACATTCGAATTGTTTGTTTATTTGTTTGCTTATAGTTATGGATGTCTAAATGTATCATTAACTCTTATCGTAACTTTCTATTGTTGTTATTGGTGGTGGTGTTGTTGTTGTTGCCATGTGAACAATTAAACTGTTTCTTCACTTTGTAATATTTGTGTAATTTTATTTATTACATTATACTAGTTGAACAGTGTACTGTAAAATATGTTTGTTATTTTTTTTAAGCGTAATGTTATTCATCCATTTTCTACTGTTTATTTAATAAATGAGTAGTATCTAATATAAAGAGAAAACTTTCGGTTCATTTTAAAGTTAAATGGAGTAATATGAATGTAATTATCACTGGAGATTTAATGTAAAGTCGTTAGGTTCATTTTATTCATATTTTATATCTGTATAAAGAGATGGCTTCCAAATGCCCTGGTACGGCCGAGAGTGGGGAGAGTTTGCTCTCCCTCTCGAAATGCTCTCACATGGCCACGCGTATATAGCCCCTGCCACACAAGTCCTACTCACTGCCTTCTCGTGCCACGGGTGTTGTTTACAAAATTGAGAGGACTAAAAGCAAATGTCCGACGCTTTAATTGAGTTGGTGGACACTGATAGTCCACCTAGGGGAGTTGGAAAACCCTGATTTCAAATCAATGTTGCACATGGGTTCCAGTATCCTGAGGGAACAAATGGCGTATGAAACAATCGTTGGTCACCGGCTACCATGGGACTGCATCTCCTCACGATGCTCCACTGCCTTATGGATTAAACCTTTAGGTCGAAGGCTCGGGGTGTGGCCCCCTAAGTAAATCACATGCTTCAGCTCGGGCACTCAGGCAGTATCACAGCCTTCACACAAATCAAATGAGATTTGTGTGGCGCATGTATATCTGATGCCCTTTTGTACTAATATTTATGTGTTTAAATAAATAAAATAAATAAATAAACAGATGGGAGATAAAATTAAGTGTTTGTCGTTAAATTACCAATGAAAATGACACTCTTATATTCAATATTCACCTACTAGTTGAAAGGAAAAATTCCTGAAAATACAGGAGACTGGGCACCAGTTGAACATTGGAAAAGTATGGACCACCACGAAATTAATTGAATTCAATCAAATTTGAAATATAGTGAGTAAGACAGCTAAGTGAACTATAATGATACGTGAATGACCGCTGGTCCTAACGTCCGACATACAGGGAAATCGACTTGTAACTTATTGATATTCTTGATATGTTTGGTTACTTAATATAACCTGGATACGTTAAGAAGTAAGTCCGGTTATTATTTGTTTGACTTTATGGACAAGCTATCCTAACTGCTTGGCTAATAATTATGAGACTATGATCTACGGGCCACCTTTGGGAGTTACTAAAGTGGTCTTGAGAGAATTCAACTACTCACTGATGTGAATATGTGGTATATATTACTTACATCCACATAAGTAGTATATAACAACGGTCAGGAATAGAATGCATTTCACTACAAGATCGATAAGAAGAAACGAAAACGAAACGCAGTTGGTATTAAAATGCATAAACAATGAAATCAGAGACGATGAACTGATGTTTGCAAATGGAACGGTCAAGATTGAGACAACTGATCGATAGTTTACAAACCAACTGTTTACTGTATGGTTATCAGATTTTCGTGAGATAGTCTGTAATTTTCGTGTCAAATGCATTTGATTGTCCTTACTCGTTTTCTTCTTAACTACAAAGATAGCATTATAAATTAGAGTGAGATGTTGGGATTAGAAGTTAGGGCTGGAAATTACGGTTAGGAATCAGAGCTAAAGTTCTTATCACGAGCTGACGCCAGGTGTTATGCTAAAAGCCTACTTACCAACATAGATGAATCTATTTTGTGCAAAAATCTAAGATTCCTTATTTTAACTTCAATCGGTTCATCCATATTTCCGTTAATTAATTCGCTATGACGTTGCTAATTGGCTGTCGGACTGTATCTTCTCCGATGAACCAATGAAGGAAAAGATGGCGAATAGTTATGCAAACCTGTAAATCAGAACAATAGCTTAATTGAAAATTCACATACCTAAATATGTGAACAACTAGATCGTAATGCGCTATATTTTACAGAATACAATCTTTGCCAAAAACATGATTTCTGGAGGTTATTCACTGTGTAGTTTACATCAAGGAACGATTTCGGCTAGACAATCATCAAGAATTAGGAAGTTTCGGACAGTTATTTTATACTAATGTTATTTAAACTAGCGCTATTCTGCGTCGATCTTATTATATGATTAGAAAACCATAAACTTCAGGTCTAATTTAACTAATTTTTCGTATCGGTTATCAAAATTCAAATAATCAACGACTATGCTATGTCGTATAGCTAGGTGAAGAAAAATGTTGAGTTTATCATTCTTACTGAACAATCAAAAGGTGTTAAAAATGGTCATCAATTCATGCAATTACGATAATGCAGAAACGATGAGACGTGAAACGATGAATTGGATGAACAATTTGATATGGGAAAACATTTAGAAATAGTTTAAACAACAGAAACCTCAATGACGTCAGTATATCCTTATAAGTAGAAGTTAATGCAAACAGTATAATCATTGGACAGAACCATTTTATAAGGGCGACTCGTTGGCAAACTCATGGAAACTTCAAGAGCAGAAGACATTTCATCCAATCACCGCTAGAGGAATATTCGAGAACGTCGATGTGTAGCTTCCCTATTGGTTGAATAAGAACTGACCCCCGTGTGCTTATGGGCTGTTCGAAATGACGATTTACTTTCAGCCAAGAAAAACTATAAATACATGATTCATTTAGTATTGTTTGTTTGAATCTTCCCATCGATGTGTTAGGACTGCAACTAATCAGTCTTTAATTGGCATATGCACATACTGTGGGTATTGCCTCGATATAGCCTTATTTCACAAACATGGTAAACAAAGATGGATAGTGGCTAGTAGTGGAATCCAGGACAAACCATACTAAATGAATTTACACTTCACCCCATCGCACAAGCAAGTGGCTATCACGACTCAGTGGCCGAGTGGATAACGCGATGGCGTTTGAAGCGAAAGTTACTGGGTTCGAGTTCCAGAGTGAACACCAACTCTGAGATGCAGGTAGATCCAACTGACGAGTCCCAAATAGGATGAAGCGCGGGTCCTGGATCCCACTGCTATCCACTATCCAACTTTGCTTATAAATACATGAGATTCTTGTACTATATTTGACACTGTTTTGAGAATAACATTCCTACTTACTAGTCTTCTGTCTTCTCTCTTGCGACGTTGTAGATTCGATCGTTCAAGTAGTCTAGTAGTACACAGCATAACAAGAATCTAAATCTCGAAATATAACACATTTATACTGTAACAACTATAATTATCATATTGAACAATTTTAATTTATCTCTATTATAAAGTTATTCAAAATGCATTACATAACATAAATAAACAAATAAAAGTAACAGAAGCATTCAATCATCTTGATCATAATATATATTGAACATTGTTAATGTTCTACGCTACAAAATGGACTATTCAAAACAAATCCTACATTACATTCTGATTAATAATTGGTTATACATTGTTGCCATGACTACATCCATCCATCCATACATACATACATACATACATACATACATACATACATAAAATCATTGAACTTCTAATAAAAACGTAATGAGCACAGAAACAAAATTTTCGAAAAATTAAAAAATTTGATAAATTTAAGGAAAAGAAATAAAGTTTAAATGAATATTTATCTCTTTTAATAAGAGGATACAATGTACAATATTCGAAAGTCATGATTTAGTATCTAAGCGAAATATATACATGTATATATATATATATAGTTTTTTATGGTTAATGAGTGTCTTATGTATTGTTACATTGTAATATGACTGTCAGTTAAGATTTTTGTTTTACACTTCCCCCCTCCTACTTCGATGCTTGTTTATTTAAAAATTTCAGCAAACATGAAAACAGGGGCTGAATATGAGGGGGGTGGGGAGGTGGGGATTGGTGATTGTATATAACAATCTATTAAAATAATTCATAGTATCATTGAATAAGAAAAAAGAGATAGAATTCAGTGTGAAAAAAAAAAATTTTCCTTATTACGAAATCATTTACTTCAGCTATACATTCGTATGATATAGTGATATAGTCAATATATATATATATGTCTATAAAGAGGTTAGGAAAGATTACATTATAAATTGATTCAACAATACAAAACAAATGAGATTGCTTACTAATAAAGCGGTCCAATTGACAGATATAAAGAAAAAGTGATAAACACAAAGATCTTAAGTATTGTTACATTCAGTGCTGGTGGATGGCCTATGCTCCTCCAAGAGGGTACATTGAAACATCATTGTAAGTTTAGATTTTTGTTTATACACTCCCCCCTCCTACTTTGATGATTGTTCATTTAAAGATTTTAGCCAACATGAAAACAGGGCTGAATATTAGGGGTGGTGATCGGTGATCGGTGATTGTATAACTACTAGGAAACCATGATTTATTTATGTATCTCTGTTATTGTTTTATTATTCACATTTGTTATTGTTGCATTAACAATTGATTTAGCATTTAATAATGCTTTTTGTAAATAACGTGACATTTTTCTATTACGTATTTTACGTTTAGCTGTTCTATGTAATTGTTTCACCATAGATAATTGATCAGCATGAGCATAATATAATAAAAAATGATTTACTAATACAGGTATTGTATATGACATTAATAATGTACCTAATATAATACATGCTGTAGCAACAATATAACCCCATGTATTATTTGGTACTAAATCACCATAACCAACAGTTGACATAGTAATTAATGCCCACCAAAAACCTTTAGGTATATCAGAAAATGTTGAATCAACAAAATAAATTGCAGCACCAAAAAATAATGCACTAACTAATATTAATAAAATAATAATAGATAAATCAGTTATTGTAGTACGTATAGTATAAAATAATACACGTGTACCTTTATGACGTCTTAATAAACGAAATAAACGTAATACCACAAATACCTTCAGGACAACAAAATATTCTTCTACACGAAGTACACGAATTAACCACCAAATAGCTTCAGAATTATTATTATTATTATAAACTAATTCATAAAATATAAATTCACAATAGAATGGTATTAATGATAAAATATCAATTAATGTTGATAATGAAAAGAACCATAACATAATTGATGGACAAAATATCATTCGTATAATAACATCAATAGTAATAGCTATAGAAAAAAAAATATCCATTTGTACAAGCCATTTAGATGGTAAAGTAAAATAACTATTATTAGTTCTATATGAATTAGAATTAATAGTTGCTTCTATATGATTATTATAATCTGATATAGTTTCATTATATAAATCAGTATATTCAGTAATATTCAAATGGAATGGTACTCGAAAATCTTTCACAGTCGATAACATGAAAACACCAACAGCTGATGTAATAATTAATGTTTCATAAATAAAATAAAAACGTCTTAACCATGTTAAATAGACAGATTCATGATTAGTTGAAGATGAATATAAATTAAATATAGCAGGACATTTATTATTAGGCCGATTGAATTTGTTATGACAACATAAATTCATGGATGTCATTGTTGATAGTTCAAATGATGTCGGTTCGGAACTACATCCAGATGGAGTATTATTATTATTATTATTATTATTATTATTATTCAATTGTTCATTATCTATAGAATAATCATGATTGAAATGATCCGTAGGATTAGTTATATGATTATTAGTTGAATTTAAACTAGTATCATTTGGATTAGATTGATCACTTGTTGAACTATATTCATTAGGGAATAATTCATTAGGTAAATAATGTCTTCTATGTTTATTAGTAGTAAAACGTGAATTAATTAACCTTGGTGATATATCTATAACAGACCAAATTTTTTCACGAAATGATTGCCAACGATATGATCTATACAAAGAAACAAACAGCAAAGGAAAACAAAGAAGATCAATATTCTGTCATAAAAATAGAAAAAGAAAAAAAAAACTTCTCAAATGTTATATCCTAGTAAAGATGTAAGTACAGGTAACTTCCAGGATCTATGAATGGACGATTATTCTATATATATATATTATTGCTATTTAACTATTGAGTAGTTAGAATTCACTTGGTATTGTTTGTTTGAATCTTCCCATTGACATTTACTACTGCAACTAGTCAGCCTCTAATTAGCATATATGAATTCAAACTTCATCCAATTGCACAAGCAGGGTGATATCAGGATTCAGTAGCTGAGTAAATAACGTGATGGCGTTTGAAGTGAAACATACTGGGTTCGAGTCCCAGAGAGAACATCAACTCTGAGATACAGGTATATCCAACTGACGAGTCCTAAATAGGATGAAGCGGGCGTCAAACTGAATTCCACTGCTATCCACTATCCATCTTTGCTTATATTGAGTAATTAGATTGTGTATATCTATATTCATCTTATTATAAGCTTCATTTTGACCTATGAATTATTACTGTTCGATTTACTGTTCCTAAATTATACTCAATTTATTTATTGCTGTCTCTCACGTTCACGACCGCATTTGGTTTGATCATATACAAATATCATTTACTGTTTTATGGTATGATGCGATCTCTCTCTCTCTCTCTCTGGTATATAAACCGAGCATGCTTGAAATAAATAATTCGCATAAGAGAAGCTGAAATTGGCACTCGATCGATGTGCTGTGCATAGACTGGATTATTTCAAACAAGATACGACTGGAGCAAACACTAGACAGTATTTTATTCAACACAATCACAAGCAGGCTGCACTTAGTGAGTTCAGAGTAGAAGTCAATAACAAAAGGAAATCCCATATCAACTAGTTATTGTCTGTAATTCCATGCTCAATGACTAATCAAATAATGCTTTCACTACCACAAATCAAAATTAATGTCAATGTAAATAACGTAATCAAACTATCGGACTCGACGATATCAGATACGTTAATGTTTCCACACCTTCAACAGTTTTGTCATCAAGTGTAATTGTATTGATGACCTCTGTGTTGTATCTGAGAATTTCACTTTTTTTTTTTGTGTATGTTGATGCAGAAGCTGCTGCTACATTTGCTGTTTTCGTCTGTATTTGTTCGCGTGTATAAAATAGGAGGGCTAGGTCATCTGAGAACTCCAAATCGTCTAATTGGTTCTGAGATGTCCATTGTATTCTGTGCTTCTCCTCAGATGTCGAAGTCTTTACAATCCAGTCAATCACCAGAAGAAAGAGGAAGGGAGAGAGTAGACAGCCTTGTCTGACTCCGGAAATGCATTTGTCAGCTGTCCTCCATGCATGACTTTGCACTGTAGTCCGTCTTATGACTTCTGGATATTGTTAACGATCTTCTCAGAAACTCCATAATGTCGAAGAAGTTTCCATTCAACCTTATCCTGGGCAATCCTTCCCAGTTCCTTCCAGTTAACATTCATCTTTTTCATATCTGCTTCTATTTCCCACCGTCATGTGTTCTTTGGCCTTCCAACTAATATGATAAACTCTATGTATATCATAACTCTTACAGTGAAATTTTGAAACCTAATGAAAGTCCTAAACAAAATCTAATGAATAGAGGATGTTTTTATAATAAACAGCTAAACTATCTTAATCCTTTAAAAAAACTTTCTATACAAATTGTGTAAAAGTTACAATCTTGTTACATTCTTTACAATTATGATTATTTAGAATCTTTTTTTAGTTCCAAAAAATAATCACATACAAATATGTATCCAATGGTAATGTATAAACTAAAGAATCCATTATCATTGATTGAATATATTCTGGAGAAATGTATATTGTGATAAAATGGTGTGTGAAGGTGAACAACAGGAAACCCTGGACCCAGGTATTGTGCTATTTGGTACTCGTCAGTAAGGTGTACCTGTAATTTTGGGGGAACTGGTGCTCCGTCACGGAATCGATCCCGTATGACCCACCTTCACAGTCAGAGACGTTACCACTGAACTATTTGGGCCGCCACCGACCTCCTGTACGACCGAGATGTAATCACAATTGATTGATCACTGGGTGGTGATCAATGTCATGCGTGTCATGTCCTTAGTGCTGATCGAATGCTATCCCTCAAGATTACAGGTTCACCTTACTGACGAGTGCCAAGTAGCACGAAACCCGGGTCCAAGGTTTCCTGTAGACCACCTCCAAATACCATCTTATCTCAACAAAGTGCACTCAGTGTCGAGCCACCTAGACTGGTGATCACATTGCAACTTGATCGATAGCATTCGATCAGCACTAAGAAGGACTTGACACGCTTGACATTGATCACCACCCAGTGATTAATCAATTGTGAAATGTATATTGTAGTTTGTGCTGGTGAGCGACCTATGTATGCTCCTCCATGAAGGGGAATAGGTGTAAGTAAGTAATATTGTAGTTTATATGTATGCTACGTTTGAATGTTTACCATGAGTTTAAGAAAAAAGCTAAATAGGTCTTATCAGTTCAAGAGGAAAACCTGATTTGTAAGGTAAGTGAAATTAACGATGTATGCTGTAATTAGCCAATATTCAATGATCATATAATACTCAATAAAACTTAGAATCCCAACTTCATTTATGAATATTTGATAGTTTAACAAGGGATAGCCTGTAAAGTTATTTCTGATATTTGCTTATTATTAGCATGTAGCTGATTGATTAATATTCAATTATCAGCAGTGCATATCCATCATCCTGCTTAGATTTTCCATGGTGGTCTAGCTTTAATTGACTCATGAATTCAACTATTAAATTACTATAATCTCCACGAAATTCCCTACTGATAATATTCAATTCTTCTTCTTCATGTGAATGAAAATTTCTTAGAATTATTTCTTGGAGTTCTAGTGAGAAGCAGTGACCAGTGGATATCAACTCACTGAAGACAATGAGGGACGGTCGCTCAATTTCATGGATTGGTTGGAGTTAGACATTAACACCGTTGGATGCCGGCCAGCTCAGTGGTCTAGAAGTTAAGCGCTCGCGCGCGTTACTGATAGGTCCTGGGTTCGAATCCCGCTCGCGAGGCGGGATCGTGAATGCGCACTGCTGAGGAGTCACATAATAGGACGAGACGGCCTTTCAGTAGTTTCAGGTTTTCCATGGTGGTCTAGCTTCAATTAAATCATGATTTCAATTATAAATAAAATAATATAATATTCCTTATTGTATTTACTTTTTCGGCAATGTATTAGTTTCAAGTGTATTTATATGATTATAGACGTTCAAGTAAAGCAAAGAATGAATTGATTTGAAGTAATTCAGAATATAAGAAATGTATGATTCTATCGGAATAATGAAATGAGATATCATATGCATCATGTGATAACTAAAGCTTTCTGACTGAAACAAAGATGGTATTGTTTGTAAACAAAAATTTGTTTTAGGTTGTCAAAACACTAAGAATCAAAGTCTAATGTTTAGTGCAAACGTTTGACATTGTCATGTGATATAGTGAAAGGTCACTTCTACGGTTTTAAGCATAATGTTAAAACTAAGCTATTCAAACAATGATAAGAGTTAAGCGAAGTAAAGTACTAGTTTCATGAGGATATGTGAATGAGGAATAAAAATGATGATTTGATCGAAAGACTCTAATACTAGATCACGTAATATGAATAATAATTGAGGAGCAAGATACATAGGGGCGTAACCAGTGTTCGCTTTCAACTCAGATACGAGAACATATCCCAGTGTGGTTCTATAAGGATGAGAGAAAAATATTAGGAAATTCTATTTTTGAACATCTTATCGACTCAAATTATTCTACCGATCTACAGGTCGATTTTAAGTTTGTGCATACAATTCGTTTAAATCTACCTAGATTTCTGCTTATTTAATTCCTTAAAACAGTGCAAGCTTCTACCATCCATGATCTAAAGCCAGAATTGTGAGTACAAATGAAGTACATCTTATCGTTATAGTTACTTTGGCCATATTCTATTATTATGATTATTCTATGTCATATTTGAAAATATCCCCCTCTCCTTTTAATTATATCCCATATCTTCATGATTTTATTCATAATTGTTTCTAATATCACTCCATTTACCTTTGCACTTGTATTACTTTCAATTACCTTTAATTACCACCAGTGGTAACTGGGAGTGCTACCCCCCCCCCATTTCTAACAAAGACATTTTAATTATCTGACTTCATTCATACTATAATTCGTTGCTAACTTATTAATTTTATTGTTATTATTCATATTACGTAATCCAGTATTATAATCCGTCGATTACATTATCATATTTATTCCTTATTCATATGTCCTCATAGAACTAGTACTTTAACAGAAAGAGATCGGTTGAGGTTAGACACTAACACTGTTGGATGCCGGCCAGCTCAGTGGTCTAGAGGTTGAGAGCTCACGCGTGAAACTGATAGGTCATGGGTTGGAATCTTGTGAGGCGGGATCGTGGATGCGCACTGTTGAGGAGTCCCATAATAGGATGAAACGGCCGTCCACTGCTTCCAGGTTTTCCATAGTGATCTAGCTTCAATTGATTCATGATCACGATTGTACAGATTGATAATAAATTCGTTGGAAAGAGATCCGTTTACTGAACTCTGTGTTTTTAATGTTTGAATGTCAAGTTGTTCTATCCTCAGCAGTGTAAATCAATCAAAACTATAAGAATGTATGAAAGTACAAACTACAAAATCATTACATTTCCCACTACTCAGATATCATTCAATGTAAATATTCAGGCTATACGAGTCAGATATATATGAAATGACTAGATAGTAACATGCATAATTGTAAAGTACTTCAAATCAGATTGGAAGAATAGGTTTCCACAAAATTTCATATATCACTTATTGAAAGTGTTAATAAGTACGAAACACTTACCAGTTGTCGTCAACCTACTAATGTAACCATATACAACTGTTCATTATAAAAGATCTTTTTATTAAATA